AGAACATGCAAACTCCTCACAGAAATGTCAACTGACCCAGCTGAGGTTTGAACCTGCAACCTTCATGCTGTGAGGTGACAGTGCTAACCACTGAGCCACTGCGCCACCCCAAAAATCATAAAAATAGTAAATTTCATAATCAATACAATGATCTATAAAGATCCTTCCTGTTCAGGTAAAAAGCGAGAGATTACTATACTATATTATAAATAAATAAATAAAAAAATTCCAAAATGACAAATGTATTCATTAGTAATCTAATATATATATATATATATATATATATATATATCAATAGTGTAAAAAACTGTTTATCTTTTAGTAAATAGAAATATTATATTATTAAATATTATATATAATTGAAAATAATACATTTATGTCGAATATTTTATGGACCATTATAACTGACACATTATATTTAACTAATTAAACTTGCATTGATCAGTTTTAATTTGACTACTTATGCTGAGAGCTGAGAGATGGCCAAGTGCACCGTGACCACTGCTAATGCCAAGTGCAATGCTTCCCCCTTGTGGTTGATTACAAACTCATCATCACAGCTTCTACCCCTCTACGCTATTATTAGGCACAGACAAAACTCGCCCCTATTTCAGACTTTACCACATGCCCCAATTTCTTCATGTATGCCTGAATGGAAAGGCTGTGAAATGAGTCCGGGTAGGATATATAAAACGCACTGCAGCGACATTAACTCTGTGTTTTGGAGAGTCAATCCAAGTCTGAGAGAAGCCAAAGCACAGACTTAATTCAATTCCTTTGACCTGGTCACACGTAAATGAACATTTTTCTCTCTCCAGCCTCGTTAACAGCCTGCTGGAGGGGATATTACAAGTGCAGGGGGTGCGAGCTAAAAACACTGGCTTATTCTATACCAAAGAAAGAAAGAAAGAAAGAAAGAAAGAAAGAAAGAAAGAAAGAAAGAAAGAAAGAAAGAAAGAAAGAAAGAAAGAAAGAAAGAAAGAAAGAAAGAAAGAAAGAAAGAAAGAAAGAAAGAAAAAAAGAAAGAAAGAATATAAAATATCACTTTATATTAAGTGGCCTTATGTAATATGTAATAATGAAATGAATCATTTGTTAAAATTTTCTTGTGTAAATACGTCTTTACACTGTAATAACATTTTAGAAAGAAAACTGAAAGTAATAACACTAAGAAAGAAAGAAAGAAAGAAAGAAAGAAAGAAAGAAAGAAAGAAAGAAAGAAAGAAAGAGAGATGTCTAATGTGAAATGGATGGCAAATGGATGATGGCATCATCATTGTAGGCAGCAGTGAATTAATTATTCATGAATAATTAATTAATTCATAACGAATTAATTATTTGTAGCCTACTGTTTTAACTACCTGACCCACATGGTCTTTGTTTTACCCATTACCAAATGCTAAATAAAGATAAGTTACAAACAAATTACCACCTGCCAATTAGTTTTTCCGCAACACTCTGGCATTTGTGTCCTTATAATGGCTTCGACAAACTTGGTTGATAAAAAAGGTGCACAACCAACAGGAACCAACCAAACCGTATCTGAGGTTTTCACTAAAATTAATAAGTACAAGCATGAAAGCGAACGATTGGAGCAGTGTGCTGACGCCATGACATGTTACCTGATGGATTCAAAAAACAGAAGAATCAGACAGAGATAGATAGAAACAAGATTAATTAAATATTGCGTTTACAACAACTATAGTGAGACGCAGTGGTACATCCTTGATAAACTGCCCAACGTGCACTGCTCTTTGGGGTTTTGTGCTCAAAGCACCCGCTGACTGCTGGAGCTCAGACATGCTCGTACACTGCAGCGCATGACAGTGTGTGTGTTTGTGTGTGTGTAATCACTAAATGTGAGTTTTTAGCAGTATAGTGTGGAAGGAGGGCTTTTCAGAAAAGCTAGATGAAACGCATTGTGGACATTGATCGATTTCCTTCTAAAATGCCATTTTAAAACGAAGACGTTGCTGCTGCAAAGAGGGCGGGCCAGCGAATCACGATGCCGCCTCAGCATCTTGATGTCTAGCCCCTAGTAACCCCAGTTGCAATGTACTAATTGTGTAAATACATGTTTTACATTCTACTTACATTATATGTACTTATAAATACATTTTAGAAAGAAAGAAAGAAAGAAAGAAAGAAAGAAAGAAAGAAAGAAAGAAAGAAAGAAAGAAAGAAAGAAAGAAAGAAAGAAAGAAAGAAAGAAAGAAAGAAAGAAAGAAAGCTGTTAAAATAAAGCATATTGAAAGGAATATATGTATTTATTTCTTAAGCTCAAAATCCTTCCTTGTACTTGTTATAATGAGCTTGTCTGACAGGGAGATTTCCTATCACAAGTACAGTCAGCTTGATTCTAAATGGTCAAATTAATGTAGAACTGGGTTTTGAAGGCTTGTGTTGAACACAGACTGATTCTCTGTAATGGCACAGTAAAAAGCCTCACCGGAGCAGTTCTTTCACATTAGCTGATTTTCCTATTTCTCCGCCAATACATTTTCACAAGCTTAAAATGTATAATGAAAGCTTTCGCAAAGCAGCTGGCATCATTTCTTTTTACAAATGTGCAGATTCCGTTCTGTCTGCTGCATGTACAGTATTAAACTACTGCTGGTCTGTGTATGTATGCATTATATGGGTCTCGCTAAGAGTGTTGTGATTTTAAGACGCTTAGTCAGTTTGTCCTGTGTGAACTCCAAACGCACACACACACACACACACACACACACACACGCACACACGCACGCACACACGCACGCACACACGCACGCACACACGCACGCACGCACGCACGCACGCACACACACACACACACACACACACATTTATTGACAAGTTAAAGGATGATTACTGTCATTAACACAGACGTCAATGTTTATAACATAGTGGTTTAACATATGCAAGTTAAGTATAATACAGAAACATTTTCATTTTCTCAGGGTTACATTAACTGAGTAATATTGGACAAATTGCAAATTGTGTTTTTAAATAACTTAAGGTTATAAATGGGAAGTTTTTTTTTAATTGTCAATATTTACATTTAGCCAAATAACTAATTGTTTAGTCTCTCACACATAATCTATTTGACATTATAAAAGAACAAAACAGGGAATAACTTTTGAGTTAGAGTTAAGTAATGATGAGCAACTGAGATTTGCAAATATTATTAGTAATATTATTATTAGTTAGTAAACATATTATTCATATTAGTAATATATATATATATATATATATATATATATATATATATATATATATATATATATATATATATATATATATAATTTTAAGTAAAAAAAACTCAACATAAAGATAGGAGTCTGAGAAAAATTATCATTTTCTAATGTAAATTTCAGACAGCACTAAGAGGTTTTTGCATCTGAGCTCTTCTTATATATATATATATATATATATATATATATATATATATATATATATATATATATATATATATATATATATGTCTGATTCCAGCGTTATGGATGATACATTTGCAGTAAAAATTCAAAACATAAATTCACAGAGAAAGTATACGTTAACATTATATTGAATCATCTGTTTATATTTTCCAAAACAACTAACCACAGAGTTATAGGATCAAAAAAAATCAATCTGTGCACATTTTTATACTTTAAATGAGGAAAATAAACAAGCGTTATGGATGTGACAAAAAAAGTGCGAGTTTACAGTATACAACATATTTCGTAGAAATTCTGTGAATTAAACTGCACAACCCAAAATAAATATTCCTTAACAAAAGGATAAGAGTTGGCTCTTTATAGAACAAAAGTGATTGATTTTATTTTATTTTGACATTTTTGCATTTTTGAGGGAAAAGCTTTGTTATGGATGTGACACTTTTTCGTTATGGATGTGACGGATGTGAAATTGCCATTTGTGTGACTTTGGTAAATCAAATATAATAGTTTGAAAACATTGACAGACACATTTTTAAGTATTTTTAAAGTACTGTAAAACACTTGCCTGCGCAAAAAATGTAGAAACGGTTTCGCTATTTTGGTGAAAACATTTTTCTTTTCATGGCAAGGTTGACATTTTCATGGAATTGCTCATATATATATATATATATATATATATATATAAAATTCTAATTCTCTCTATTTAAGGCTCCAAAAAATATTGAATCAACTTTACTTGATTCTGACTAAACCATGATGTAAATTATTGCTTCAGTGACTCCCAGGTAGATTTATGGTAGAGCTTAAGTATTAAGTTTTATAATTTATCTGTATTATTAATTATGTACTGGATAATTTGTTAAAATAATAATAAAAGTAATATTAAATCATAATAAAAAACAAATAAATAGTAAAAAAATATGCGAATAAATGTAATTTAAAATATAAATAAATTAATATTTAAACCGGCATGTGAACATGAAATAAAGAAAAGAAAAAAACATAAAATTTAATCCAATGAGTAAAATGCATACATACAGAAGTATAATGAGCAGAATACAAGACGTAACTTAACAGAACTCAATATGTTTCTAACCATCTCAGAGACTTTCGTTTTAAAATTCCCTTGCTCTCGCATTAGGATGAGCTATTATTAGATATCGTTTTATACATTTCATACTGCTGGATTGGTTTTAGTGTTACTGTATTATTTCTTTGTTTAATGTCACTAAATACCCAGCCTTTATGCTCTGAAATGAACGCGTGAACAAAGTAAAACTCAGAGGGAACGATTAGTAAACGGAACCATCAGAAGTGCGCGTGTCTCCCGCGTCCCTCTTCGGACATACATCCGGTCAAAGGATTCCTACTTCTATCTGCTTCAAAATCACCCACTAAACACATTCAAGGAACAATAGCAACAGTATAATACAAATCACACCCTATGAAAGTACCTCAGGCACCACTGAAAGTCTGCCAACTAACTACTGAATTTGCACGAGCAGCGCGCGAGACAGAACCACTTGGTAAACAAAGTTCGTGGATTGTATGAAAGAGAAAAGTTAAATCTCGTCTTACCTGCTGAACCTCCCGCAATGATCTGATGAGACGCTTCTCTCAGCAAACTTTGCTTTTTAGATGTCATTTTTGTTTGGTTCTGGGCCTGTGTTGAGGAAAACAAACTGTCATAGCCGCGCTGACTTAATGGAAACAGCTGTCATTTCATATGTGTTAACATTATGACTTTAGTGTTTGACATTATTAGTGACTGTCTCGAGTAAATACATAGTGTAGCAAACGTTAAAATCAGTAACAGTCGGTCGTTGTGTTCATTTGGCCATACGGCGCGTAATATAGTGTGGTAACGTTATATGGATTAAACCTTACGCTGATTAGTTTGGGATTTGAGTTGACTGTTTATTGTAGTAGTTCCTCGAGCTGTTGTGACACGAGGCGTCCTGGCGCGAACAGAAACGACGGAGATCTGTGCGTGAGCGCGCGCTGAGGCAGTTCATGTGTGCAGGTTAATTTTAACTCGGAGACAAATTCAGCTCACAGAGTCCACTGGGCAGAGGATGAATAGCCTACTAGCCTATGATTAAAGTACATAATACTAAAAAATCGATACAATATAACAACAACATTCCATATCAACTGTAGATTTATTCGTATTTGTCCGTAAGCCAGAGAAACTATGAAATTTTCACATTTCTTTTTCCACTGGCGTTCATTACTCACTTAGACCAAAGTATTCAAACCGTTTTTACAGTCTATGGTTCAAACACACTTTTTTTTTTTTTTAACTTTTTTTCTATTTTTTGCTTTGTCTTAACTTAATTAGCAATACTTTTTAATGTTGTATCAATTAATAATCTTTCTTTACATGAAAATGTTTTGTTGTTTATATTTTGGTTTGAACAAGTTTAGCGTTCTTTAGCATAAATGCTAACATGGACATTATACAACATTCAAAGACAAAAGAGGGTTTTCAAAGTCTGTTATTTTATTCAGTGTAACTTGTTTTATATAGCAAACAAAAATATAGTTATTAGGCATATTTAGCATAAACATCAGTAAGTGGCACTTTAAAAGACTAAAAGTTGAAGTGCACCTCTAAAATACATTTGTATCGCACAAAGGTTTTGATTTTAGATTTATCTAATGCAAGTAAATAATAAAGCATAACATAAATATAAGCCTATACACAATTAGCATTGGGATGATAATCGGTTTCAAGGTTTACCATGGTTTGGAAAACTGCCAAAGCTTTCTGTTATTCTGTTCCTATACGGTATATTGAAGTTATTTCTTAAAACTATTTTATTTCGGGGTTTTTTTTTTACGGCAACAGTATCTCCAGCAAAAAAGCAACATCCACATCAAAATCTATGAGTTTAAAATACTTGAAATGTTTCCTAAAATAAAATTTATTGTGTTCAATAGGGGGAAAAAGTTGTTTTTTTACCCAGAGATTTAAAAAGAACTTATTTTGGAGCAGTGATCACATCGCGTGAAACTGTGATTGTTTTATTCAAGGTTATTAAACCGCTAGAATTTTATGCCGGCCCACACCTAAACACAATAGATTGTGAAAAATAACTTTTAAGCACACTAAACCTATAGTAGCCTACCAAGTAAATCAGATATGTCACCTCAGACACTAAAAATACACAGAGCTTAAAATAGTGTACTTGACGTCTCATAAACTAAAAGCTGTGATTTAAAATGTGAAGAAAAAACATAAAAATACATCCTTGAGAAAGTCTGGGATTCCTCCAAACCATGTAGTGAACCACAGATTTTTAGTATTTTTTTATTATTCCTGCAAAAGGCAACAATGAAACGCAGGCTTTCCCTAATTCAGTGTTACAACTAAATTGGAGAGAGAGAGAGAGTCTGGCTGAGTAATGGGGATATTACTGTATTAAGATACACATTTTCCCCCTGTTTAATTCTCAAATGTGATTTTATAGCAGGCTATTGGCAGGGAAATGCCATTAGCACTTTGACCTGCCTGGAGCAGAGCAAACTCCACCCCGTCTATAAAGCAACACGGTGGCCAGTGAATTAGGGAACTCGCAATTATTAATCATTAATTCTGCAACTTCATTCATTTTCTTTTCGGCTTAGTCCCTTTATTAATCCGGGGTCGCCACAGGGGAATGAACCGCCAACTTATCCAGCAAGTTTTTTACACAGCGGATGCCCTTCCAGCTGCAACCCATCTCTGGGAAACATCCACACACACATTCACACACACATACACTACGGACAATTTAGCCTACCCAATTCACCTGTACCGCATATCTTTGGACTGTGGGGGAAAACGGAGCAACCGGAGGAAACCCACGCGAAGGCAGGGAGAACATGCAAACTCCACACAGAAACACCAACTGAGCCGAGGTTCGAACCAGCGACCTTTGCTTAGAAGAAGTAACATCTAAGCAAACCATTCTGTAAATTTGTCTGGGATTGATAAGGGCACACACATCCTGAAAAAAATTACTTCTTTGTAATACAATTAAATATTTTTAAAAAATCTACAATTATTAGCAAAAATTCAAACATAATAGTTTAAATAACTCAATTCTAATTTCTTGGCATGATGACAGTACATAATATACGACTAGTCATTTAGTAAGATACTAGTATTCAGCTTAAAGTGCAATTGAAAGGCTTAACTAGGTTAGCTATAGACAGGTCATTGGACAACAGGTCTGTTGCCAATTAGAAAAACAAAATTCTTAAGGGAACTAATAATATTGACCATAAAAATTATTTAAAAAAATATATATATAAATAAATATATATATTGTCCCAGCTCTGTTAAACATCACTTGGGAAAAGTTTTAAAAAACAAAATTTTCGTATGGCTGTTTTGTATACTTCATGTAACTACACCCACCGGCCACTTTATTAGGTACACCTTACTCCCTTTTGCCTTCAGTACTGCCTTAATCCATTGTGGCATAGATTCAACAAGGTGCTGGAAATATTCCTCTGAGATCTTGGTTTATACTGACACGATAGCATCAAGCAGTGGCTGCAGATTTGTCAGTTGCACATCCATGATGTGAATCTCCCGTCCCACCACATCCCAAAGGTGCTCTATTGGATTGAGATTTGGTGACTGTGTATGCCATTTAAGTAAAGTGAACTCATTGTCATGTTCAAGAAACCAGTCTTGAGATGATTCACACTTTATGACATGGAGCGTTATTTTGCTGGAAGTAGCCATCAGAAGATGGGTACACTGGTCATAAAGGCATGACATGATTAGCAACAATTCTCGGGTAGACTGTGGTGTTGACACTATGCTCAATTGGTACTAATGAGCCCAAAGTATGGCAAAAAAATATCCCTCACTCCACTACACCACCAGCCTGAACCATTGATACAAGGCAGGATGGATCCATGCTTTCATTTTATGTTGTTGACCCCAAATTCTGACTCCACCATCTGATTGTTGCAGCAGAAATCGAGACTCATCGGACAGAAAACATTTTTCCAATCTTCTATTGTCAAATTTTGATGAGCCTATGTGAATTGTAGCCTTAGTTTCCTGTTCTTAGCTGACAGGAGTGGCAGCTGCTGTGGTCTTCTGCTGCTGAAGTCCATCTATCTCATGGTTGGATGTGTTGTGCATTCAGAGATGCCCTTCTGCACACCTTGGTTGAAGTGAGTGGTTATTTGAGTTACCGTTGCCTTTCTATCAGCTTCAATCAGTCTGGCCATTCTCCTCTGACCTCTGGCATCAACAAGGCATTTACACACACAAAACTGCCACTCATTGGATATTTTCTCTTTTTCGGAATATTCTCTGTAAACCCTAGAGATGTTTGTGCATGAAAATCTCAGTGGATCAGCAGTTTCTGAAATACTCAGACCAGCCAGTCTGTCATGAACAACCATGCCACATTCAAAGTCACCTAATTACCTTTCTTCCCCATTCTGATGCTCTGTTTGAACTGCAGAAGACAGTCTTGGCCATGTCTACATGCCTAAATGCATTGAGTTGATGCCATGCGTTTGGCTGATTAGAAATTTGAGTTGAGCAGTTGGACAGGTGTACCTAATAAAGTGGCCGGTGAGTGTATATTGTATAATCTTGCATTCAACTGTAAATAAAAAAAAGAATAGGGAAATACAACAATCCACAAATTGAGCTTATCTTTAGAAACAAAATGTAGGGTTACAAAATTAAGGAAACCGCAACACATTTTACTTTTTATTTGCAACAATCTCACTTATAAAATTTCAAGCTCTCACAGCCTCATCTCTGCATGTCTGTTCTATACCACATTTTTTTTGGCATTGGATTTTAACACCATTTTAGCCACTCAAAACACTTTAAGGTTTCTAAAAATGCTCTAAATGAGACAAAAAAAAAACAAGTTGGTTAGACTAAAAACAACATAGCAAAAATATTACAAAATAAATATGGTAAATACAGACACAGTGGTTTAAACCAAAATAGTTCAAGTCACATTTCATGCTTTTTTAATCAGCCGTATTCAAGGCATTAACCTGCTTTGTCAATTAACCATTTCAAAACAGTTTGTTTTTGTAAAAAAAGTAGTTAAAGGAACAGTTCACCTAAAAATATATCATTTACTCACCCTCCACTTCGTTTTAAACCTGATTAACTTTCTTTTTATTGAACACAAAGGAAGATATACCGAAGAAAGCTGGAAACCAGTAACCATTGACCTCCATTGTTTTTTCTACTATGGGAGTCAATGGTAACCAGTTTCCAACATTTTTCAGAATATCTTCTTTTGTGCTCAACAGATTAAAGAAACTCTTAAAGGTCCCGTGAAGTGCTTTTTTTTTGACCTGATCTCAACCGACACACGAAAATAGGGTTGGACATATATAGTAGCTCCTCCTTTTTTTAAAAAGCAGCCATTAGTGTTTTGTTATAGCACAGCTCTGCCGGTGAGAGTGGTTTGGCTTAAGCGCATCAAATGTGAAGTGTCTTGACGGGGGCGGGGCATGTCAGATTCTGTACTAGAGAGCATTTAATTGGTTATGATGTGATGAGAAACTGTAGTGAGAGGTGTGAGGTGACATGAATAAAACTGTTGATCCATTTGGGAGGAAGTGACAAACTACAAGCTTTACATATCAGTTTTGTATCTTCAAAATCCAAATTTTGTCACGGTTTGGGGCACACTAGCTTATAGATATTTTAAAAAGGAATAATACTGATACTAATTTCTGAAAAATATATATTTCATTGGACCTTTAAATTATTTTACACTGTAAAAAATATGCTGGGTTCCACACAATCAACTTGTGTTGGGACAAAAAAAGGAATTTAGCTAACTTATTAGTTTTTACAAATTGAAGTGGATTGAACAAAAAACAATTAAGATGTCCCGAAAAAAAAAAAAAAAAAAAAACTTTTAAATAAGTAGTTTGAACAAACAGCATCATCGTTTTTGAGAGTAAGTAAATAATGAGTACATTGCATTTTTTGATGATCTATCCCTTTATCATATGTGTTTATGGATAAGTTTTACAATAAAAAGAAAACATTGATATGCAGTAATATTGACAGTATGCTAAGCATGCTTAAAATCTACATTTTAAATCTATTTGCTAAAAAACTGCACACAGAAGTCATCATAAGATCAGAATATAATCACGACTATTCTCAAGCTGCAAAGTTGACGAAAACATATGATCCTGCACATATCAACGTCATCTTGAGAAGTGTGTTGTGTGTGCATCGGTTTCTTTTTTTGTCTTTACACAATAATCAAAGTTATGGCTAGTATAGGGAAATATACAATGTGTTTACTTTTCTACTGTACAACCCAGAATTATTCACTACATTTGTGAAAATGAACAGTTTGGCTCAGATGAAGCATTATGTTGGTACTGTGAGGTGAGTGGCGAGAAACATTTGAGAAAATAAAGCTTTAGCCCAAAACCTCTAACTTCACACATGTTATTTCCTGACTGGAACGATAAGAAGTCATCAAGAGCACAGTACTTCTGTTTTGTGTCTTTGTATAATATTTAGCTATACCACCATTTATGTTAACGTACGAAAGATGATTATTTTAATGTTTCTACATGTCCTGGTGATGTGTAAAATTAAAGTAGCAATAAAGGGTTAATTCACCACACAATGAAAATCGTTATTTTGCTCACTTTTATGTCATTTTAAACCTAATTTGTCCAGGTAAATGAAGATATTTTTATTTATTTTTTAATTTTTTACACTAAACTCTTAATGCTCATAAACATTTATAAGAAAAAATAAAACAATTCCATCCAAGTCCTCTAAAGGGATACACACCTACTTTATTAGCTGAAGAAATTTATTGTAGGATTTTATTCATTTATGGGAAAAAAAAAAATCCACTTAGAATTTCTGTTTCTGTAAATCTACAATTTATCAGGGTTCTTGCACCTTTTCCACTTTCAAATTTAAGCCATTTTCAAGCACTTTCCATGTACGTTTTCAAACCTTTCCATCACTTTACTAGTGGGGCAAATGACATTTATTTTATTACATTACATCAGATACTATTTGTTAGATTACTATACTGTGCTTTACTATACTATACTATACTATACTATACTATACTATACTATACTATACTATACTATTCTATACTATACTATAGAACACTATAAGGAAAGTTTTTGATGGCATGTTTGCCTCTAGTCCAACACTGAACGACAGTCATTTACCCTCAACTGTCTTTTACTCACATCTTAAGTTTGCTATATTTCATCCTAATAGTGAATTTGTTTTAATGTCATGATTTGGTCACTCATGAAGTGGTAATCTCAATGCATTTTGCATCGACTCCATTTTAAGCAAAAGCAAAACTATTTTATTTATTTATTTTAAGTGAATTATTATTACCTATTTAGTGACTATTATGAGTTTACAATTACATTATCAAACACTTTTTCCTAAATTTAAGCACTTTTCAGACCCGGAAATCACAAAATTCAAGCATTTCCAGCACACAAATGACCCCTGTTTTTTCTAGTTACTATATGTGTATGAAAAAGATTTAATAAAAATAATTATATAATTTTTGTTTTGTTCTGCAAAACTGGAGACATTTCTAATTCTCTAATCTAAATTTAGGGGAAATGGTTATTTAGAGAAGTGTTTCTCAACTGGTGGGGGAACATTTTCAGTGGGTCACGGAGTGTGTGGTCAAAAAAAACAACAAAAGTTACATTTTGTACTTATTTTGCTTATACCGGACTTTTATTTTGTAATGCGTGCGCGACAACCCTACCGTTTGACATGTGAAATTTAATTTAATTGTTGCAACAAATATGTCGAAGTGCAAGTATGACCCCGAATATGTCAAGTATGGATACGGCAAAAAAGACTTAAAGCCTCAGAGTCATATGTAGTGAGATGCTCTCATAAGAGAGCATGAAACCTTCAAAATGAAAACAACATTTAGAAACCAGAAAACATGTTTTGTTAAAAGTTTATTATTCACAGTATTTGTCGTTTTTTTTTTTTTTTGTAATATTTTTAACATTTTATCCATTTTGTTAAATGACAGCAATAAAATAATGTTTATTTGTAAGTCTTGGTGAATTTTTTTTATGATTTATCTGTCACTACTTGTTTATGTTAACAAATAAATACAAATTAAGTGTAATTCCTAAAATTGTATTATAGTTCCTAAAAATTTGGGTTGCGGCTTGATAACCATGTAAAAATGTGGATCCCATGGCCAAACCAGTTGAGAACCCCTGATTTAGAGCACAACATGACAGTTGGTCAAGATATATTAATACCAATGTTTTAACTTTATAATAACATATTTTTTTCAACTCCTATAACAGTAGAGAAAATATATGTTGTCAGAGCTTTGCAGAATGAAACATAACATTTAAAATGAACATTTCGCTTAAACACAATAACTGTAGAAACTGCAGTCTCTTCATTTTTTCCATAGATGTGTACTGTATATATCAAAAGCTACTGTCTCTTCAGCAGATCTGAATTAATCCTCAATGTGATATCTGCACAGCTGGTGTTTTTCAGCCAACGGTAAACTTCCAGTGAAAGGTTTATGTGGCTAATTGTAATTTGTAAGGTGCTGTTTACAGCATCAATGTTGTAATGAAATTAAAGTACATTCAGTTAAATAGAATTAAGCATTCTTTTAGTTGTTTAAAGTGTAAAATGAGATGAAAGACCACATAAGCGCAGGCTAGCACAGAAACTCCATTGAAAATACTGGGCTAAAATAAATGTTCATATTTTAAAGACATGGCGCGGGACAATGAAATTTAATGCAGTGCTTCTTGTCCGGTCTGAGACCCGTTTTATTTCGTATATCTATCCGGCAGTGGAAATTAGTGATTTTTTAAAGTAAACAGTTGCATTTTGCAAACGTGGCAATTTTGTATTGGAAAGACAGTTCACCAGAAAGGGATGGGCTGGCTGACTGAAAATGATAAGTCTGTTTGCATATACCCTATTTATAATGGTTTATTTTATTGATCTTTTCATGAAAGTTTGAAGCATCAGTGTTTGGGTAAACAGACATTCAATGGAGGTGGCTGAGATTTAATATAAAAATATCTTCATTTGTGTTCTGAAGATGAACAAAAGTCTAGAGTTTGAAGCGACGGAAGGCTGTGAGCAAATGATGACAGAACTTTTAGTTTGAAGTGAACTAACCCTTTAACTAATGTACCGTTGACGTCAATACACTAAAAATATTTTGAGTAAAAATAAACTAAACATTATCAAACAATAACATGGATGAATCAAAATCACGTTAAACAGAAATGAAAAAAAAATCCAACCGTGTCTTAAACTGGAACATCCAGATGAAAATTCCTTAAAATGCCGCCAACCTTTTCTGCATCCAAGAACAAAAAAAAACATTGCTAAATTCTCTTGGATCTGATTTGAGTTGGTGGGTGATCTTCATAGGGTGGGTTTCTATTTATAAACCCACTTTGTTTATTTTTTTTGCATTTGGACTCTGAGCAGCGTGCAAGTTGACCGTTTTGGAAAATAAATTACTTTTCGTTGTAGTTTTACGGTTAAGACCTTCAAACACAAAGTCTGAATCATGTCCCACACTTAAATGCTTTAAATGTGTTTCTATTTGTGTTTGCAAACCATGTGAGGAGTTGCTGATGTGTCCAGACACCTGTTTTTTTTTTTTTTAAAGAAGAGTTGGGCCTTTGGTAGTGTATGTCATCGAAGGGAAGTGTCGGCTGTCTATGTCCCATAGCTTTTTGTCTCCTTGAGCACCGAGCGTTGAACTTTGAGTCTGGTTGCTGGCTCCTGGTAAGCTAGAGGTCCAGTAGTTGATATAACTAGCAATGAGGAGTGTCAGTTCCAGTATCTACAGCATTCAAAGAGAGAGGGACAATCGGTCAATAGGTACTGTACAAGCTCTTTATTGGGGCTGGTTATTGATTCAAATGTCCCAATTCAATTTGACTCTGATTCATTTTTTTTTTTTGATACATGCAGTTGAAGTCAAAATTATTAAACTATTATCCTTAAAGTTAAAAATTGTTGGAAGAAAGATCAAGATCCCACAAATAAATAAATAAAGCACAAATAAATGTGAAAATAAACAATAAAAACTGCTAATTTATTGATTTTTTTAATGCAGTACAAAAATAAGTACACCCAAATTAATGTCGGAGAAAATATTAAATAAAAAATAAAAAACATAAAAAAACTAAAACTTTATTTAATGTTTTCTTTTAGCAACAGCTCATTTGTATGTATTTTCTTTCTATTCCTAAAGATGTTTGGTGACCAAATTCATTTTAATGAATATAACTGTGATGATTAAATGGTTTTGTTTAAATGCACCAAACATTATTGGATATATTCACAAGAATTGGATAAAAACATTCTTTAAAAAAAACTCATTTATTTTGAGAATAGCGCATGCATATGTATACATACAGTTGAAGTCTGAATTATTAGCCCCCTTTGAATTTTTTTCTTGTTTTTTTTAAATATTTTCCAAATGATGTTAAACAGTGCAAGGAAATTTTCACAGTATGTCTGATAATATTTTTTCTCCTGGAGAAAGTCTTATTAGTTTTATTTCGGCTTGAATAAAAGCCGTTTTAAATTTTTAAACACTATTTTAAGGTCAAAATTATTAGCCCCTTTAAGCTATATTTTTTCTCAACTGTCTACAGAACAAAACACTGTTATACAATAACTTGCCTAATTCCCCTAACCTGCCTAGTTAACCTAATTAACCTAGTTAAGCCTTTAAATGTCACTTTAAGCTGTAGAGAAAAAAATATCTAGTCAAATATTATTTACTGTCATCATGGCAAAGATAAAATAAATCAATTATTAGAAATGAGTTATTAAAACTATTATGTTTAGAAATGTGTTGAAAAAAATCTTCTCTCCATTAAACAGAAATTGGGGAAAAAATAAACAAGAGGTCTCATAATTCAGGGGGGCTAAAAATTATGACTTCAACTGTAGTATTATATTCAATTTGAAAAAGTCTTTTATACATATAGTTGAATGCAAAATGATTAGCTCTCCCGTGAAGTTTTTATTCCTCTTTTTTTTGTAAATTTTCCCAATATTTCCCATTATATTTTTCTTCTAGAAAAACTTTTCTTTCCTTTGGCCTGGGTAAAATAAAAGCAATGTTTACACATTTTAAAAATGATTTTGATGGTCAAATTGTATTAGCTATTAAACAGCCTTTGCAATTTAAGCTTAAAATTAGTATCTCTTAAAAATAGTAAAACACTATATATTATTATCATGGCAAAGATACAATGAATTAGTTTTTAGAAATCAATTGATAATAGTATTGCTCTGTTAAACAGCTCTATTCGAAGAATTCAAATTTCACAGAATGGCTTATAATTTTGACTTCAGAAATGCTGAAATCCTGGCTGCCATTAGCACTTGCCGTATGAGTGCAAACGTCAATGAAAACCTGTTTTAACTATCAAGATGTCATTCAGGTTTCAGAGGGGGTTGTAGAAGTTTACCTCGGCTTTTAAGCTGTTTAAAAGGTCTGATTTCACCCCGCACACTTAAGATCAGATTTCCTAGATATTTAATAAAAGGTAATGCTAAAAGCAGCATGTGTATCAGAATACTGTCTTTACTGGCCGCATTTGTAAATGCTGTTAAACTCTGTTTTACCTTTTGTAACATCACGTCTTACCTTTGGTTTAGCCATTGCAAATAGAAGTTTATCCACAGTCTTTTTGCCCAAAGCCTGGTCTTTAATCAGGCTGACCACCAGCATGAAATCCTCCTTGCAGCCTCCAAACGTGATCACCGACTGGTATGGATATGTGACCAGTGGGTGCTAAAGAAAAGCAGAACACACTCAATTGAGAAGATTACAGGCTTTTGTTAAAGTGTACTAAAACAAGAGTTCAAAGCTTCGAATTTTTTTTTAAATCAACAAAGGGCCAACGATGTGTTAATTGACTAAAAATGTAAAATAAATATACATTTTAAACTTTCTCTTCGTCAGAGAAACTAATCTTTTGGCACATTAATTTTCATGGCACATTAATTAATCATGGCACATTAATTTTCTCATGAGTGGCAATAAATATTTTTAAGTTATTTAAAAAAAATAATTTAAACTTTCTAATCATCAGTGAATACTGAGAAAACACACACACACACACACACACACACACACACACACACACACACACACACACACACACACACACACACACACACACACACACACACACACACACTGCACAAAAAGAAACACGATGTAAAATATATTTTAAAAACAACAGTTACCTTAAATTGTAATCACTATTACAGTTTTCCTGTTATTATTTTCCAGTGAAATCTGATCATTTGTCTGTGAGCTGATCAGAATAGTGAAATGGTGGAGATGTTAAACCACACACAAAAAAGAGAGAAAAAAAAGAGAGAAACTGACAGAGTTTGCCATGAGCACTGTTTATTCTTTCTGAAAATGACTAGACCTCTCCAAGTGAGAATACAGCCAACTGGGCAAGATATTAAAACTAGAGTTTCTGGAAATTTCCTGCTCAATAAACATTTCAAACTGGCACACCTGCCAATTATGTGTCAGACAAAACTTCTATATTGACAATATTAAAGCAGAGAAGAAAGTGAGTGGAAATGCTCCAAGCCAAAAGAGGGCGCTAAAGGTCTAAAAATAAGTGCACTTAAAACGGAAGAGCAACAGGATGTGCACTACAAGGTTAAAAAATGTGTGCACAGTCAAACAAAATAAAAAGTTACCTTTAAACTGATTCATAGATGCTGTCCAGACAAGTGTAATCTTAAAAAAGTTAAGAATTATATTAACACTAACTGTTCCTTTTGCTTAGAGAATCCTGAAACTTCTGTTTATATATTTTGGAATTGCCTTCATTCAATAATATTTTGGTGTGATGTTCTTGATTTTATAAAAGTGAAGGCAGATTTTGAGTTTACATATAAGAGTGTTATCTTTGGTTTCTATGAAAGTGAAATGAAAATAATACTTATTTCAAGAACCTTGTTTTTTTGTTGGCCAAATTTCATATTCACAAGTTTTGTAGCAAAGTGTAAACCCTGTTCCCTAAATTTAAGATTGAAATGAAAAAGTATTTTGAGTGTATTGAGGGATCAACCAACTTAAAAGCAATACGAACAAGGACTTTGATGAAGGACTTGGCACTTATCTTAGACTAAATGACTAAAAACCCCTGGATTGTTGTTGTTTAATTCATGACATTTGTTATTGTTTTTCAAGCATTCAATAAAAATAAATAAAAAAATAAAACTAACTAAACTAAAGTGCCTATAGAAAATCATCATAGCCCTTTGAAATAATTACTTTATTTGTCATAAAGCCTAAAAATCAAATCACATTCCAAATAACCTGTGCAGCTTTTGAAATGTTTTTGTAGCCTTCTCCTAACCTGTGCCTTTCTACAGCTTTATCCCGAAGGTCTTTTGAAAGCAGAGTGTAATATGAGTAAAGGTATAGAGTTTAACAATGTGTGATGATTTTCTATAGGCACTGGATGAAAGAAGTTTTATAAAACGGTAATAGAAGGCTTATAAGTATCAATTATGTTAAATAATGACAAATTACAATTTAGCATAATTTGATAATATTAATCGATGATAAATGAACAAAAACTGTAGTAAAACTGTAAACAATTATAACATCCTATTTTTTCATACATTCATAGATCCTGATAACCACAATTTTATTGCCTCACTATTATAAAACTTAACCTAACTAAATGTTTTCAATGGGATTGTTATTAAAAAACAAAAACAAAAAAAAAACAGTAGCCTAACAATATTTTACATCAATCAGTAAATTAAAACTTGACAGTCTATTGACAATCTATTGACAGTAAGTACATTTTCTCTAAGAATGTGCTACATTATTTAATTTATTTCAGGCTGATAAATGTGACCATGATCACAAGACCAGTCGTTAGACTCATACAATATATACTTTTGGTATTTTCAAAATATAATAATTAGAATAATTACAATAGAATAATTAGACTCATACAATATATATTTTTGCTATTCCCACAAATATACCCATGCAACAAGACTGTCTTGTTTTTGACATTTAACCTCTGAAGACTACGTCGGATAGTTTGAACTGCTGAGCGAATCACTAGTACAACCTTACCTACTCTCCAAGAACTGTACTTATCCAAAAGAGCTGCCAAAATCACTCCTCACAACCAGCACACTGCCTTATTTAGAACTTTTACCTTCTGGTCGATGCTATAAAGCACTGTGCACCAGAACAGCCGGACTAACAAACAGTTTCTTCCCTCTGTCAATCCATCTCATGACCACTTGATAATACTAATTGTGAAACAAACATCACTACCTTTTATACACATACAGTTGACGTGAGAATTATTAGCCCCCCTGAATTATTAGCCCCTCTGTTTATTTTTTCCCCAATTTCTGTTTAACGGTGAGAAGATTTCTTCAACACATTTCTAAACATAATAGCTTTAATAACTTATTTCTAATAACTGATTTATTTTATCTTTGCTATAAGGACAGTAAATACTATTTGACAAGATATTGTTCAAGACACTTCTCTACAGCTTAAAGTGACATTTAAAAGCTTAACTAGGTTAATTAGGTTAACTAGGCAGGTTATGGTAATTAGGCAAGTTATTGTATAATGATGGTTTGTTCTGTAGACTATCGAAAAAATATATAGTTTAAAGAGGGGCTAATAATGTTGACTTTAAAATGCTTTAAAAAAAAAAAAACTGCTTTTATTCTAGCCAAAATAAAACAAATAAGACTTTCTCCATAAGAAAAAATATTATCAGACATACTGTGAAAATTTCCTTCCTCTGTTAAACATCATTTGGGAAATAATTAAAAAAGAAAAAACAAACAAAAAAGGGGCTAATAATTCTGACTTTAACTGTATACACTTATTTATTTAACAACATACGTTACATGCCAATTTGCACATGGCAGCTGCACATGCAGTATCATGTTATACTTTATATAGTATTTTAACTGTACACACACTTGTCAATTTGAATATTTGCCGCCACTATTTACTTCTATTTTTTTAATTTATTATCAGTTTTTTTCTCGTGTCTTTCTTTTGCACTGTAGAAGCTCTTTCACGAAAACAAATTTCTTGTGTGTGTGAACATATCAGGCAATACAGCTCTTTCTGATTCTAAAACACTACAAAAACAACACTAAAATAATGGGCAATTAGTTAATGTATCTTCAAACATGAACAAACAATTATTAATACATTTATAACAGTATTTTATCATCTTTGATAATAATCTAAGCAAAATGCCAGCATGTATCTGTAGTTACACTCACACTCCACGTCTTTGCCCTTGTTTGGCATCCCCCAGTTGGTGCGACAACAAGCAAACAAAAAGGCAACGGTTGACCATGCGTACTGGTAGCTTCTTTTGGGTTCTTCAGAAACCTATGGGGGACGTCACGGATACTACAATACAGCTCTTTCTGATTCTGAATCTTTCTGGCAACACTTTAAAATAATAGTCCATCAGTTAATATATCTTCAAACATGAACAAACAATTACTAATACATTTAGTACAGTGTTTTATCATCTTTGACAATAATTCATGTTTACTCATGGTGCTTTAACTAATGTTAACAAGCACAACTTTGGATTTAAATTATGCTTTAGTAAATGTTGAACTGTGATTATTAAATGTTTTACAGGAATATTCAAACCTTGCTAATGTTAGTAAATACATTAACTAATATAGACCATAATTCTAAAGTGTTACCATGTTTCTCGAAAGTAACATAAAAGCTGATGTTTATGAAGTTAATACAAGCGCCTACAACAAAAGTTGCACGGATGCAAAAAAAAGTTGCAAAATCCACCCATTTAGTTGACAGTTTGACTTGTGGCGCTGCACACTTGACTTCTAATCTTCCATTATAAGAGCATTACTATAGGCATGTTTTTGATTTGTTTTTACAACCCGAGGGAGTCTAAATGATTTTCTGAGGTAATCAACTGCACACTTAAGGGCTTAAGCTGTAAATGACCCGTAATATTCTTTAATGCAGTCTTGCTTTCTAAAAGTGTAAGTGTCATCAAACACTCACCATGGTGTAGTCGAGGACACTCAGGCCGTCCTCATTGACCGCCAGCCACACTTGAGTTCGGTCCAGTGAAGAGGGAGGCAGCGGCTGCGTTTAAAGAAACATTGAGTCATGCTTAAGAGCACTTTTCTCGAATGTACAGTTGAAGTCAGAATTATTAGCCCCCTGAATTATTAGTCCCCTCTGTATATATTTTTACTCAATTTCTGTTTAACGGAGAGAAGATTTTTTCAACACATTTCTAAACAAAATAGTTTTAATAACTCATTTCTAATAACTAATTTCTTTAATCTTTGCCATGATGACAGTGTATAATATTTTACTAGATATTTTTCAAGATATTAGTTTTCAGCTTAAAGTGACATTTAAGGCCTTACTAGGGTAATTAGGCAAGTTATTGTATAAAGATGGTTTGTTCTGTAGACTATCGAAAAAAAATATTGCTTAAGGGGGTTAATAATATTAACCTTAAAATGGTCTTAAAAATTTAAAACTACTTTTATTCTCGCCTAAATAAAATAACTAAGACTTTCTCTAGAAGAAACAATATTATAGGAAATACTGTGGAAAATTTCTTGATCTGTTAAACATCATTTAAGAAAAATTTGAAAAAGAAAGGGGCGAAAAAATCATGAGAGGGCTAATAGTTCTATATATAATTATAATAATTTTAACTGTATGTATTTAGGACTTAAAATCATTGAAGATTTACCATATATTCGTGGCACAAATAGTTTAATTTCCTATTGCCAACATTATAATTTCAAGAAGATGTTCAAAATACAATAACAGTAAATGTAAATATCGGTAACATTTCATAATAACTGCACATTGTTAATAGTTTTAATTTTAACAGATTTTAAACAGCTTGTTTTTAATAAGTTGCTTGCACAAGCAGCAAAAAACTATTTGAGTGTATTTTCCAATGTAAAATCCCATTTAGCTGCTTTAACGAATTGATAATTTTTTTATAATACTCTCAAAAAAATGATGTTTGCTGTTATATCATCAGTATAACAGATCTTTTAGACTCTTAAAAAAAGCAGAATTTATTATTTAATATTTATTATATATATATATATATATATATATATATATATATATATATATATATATATATATATATATATATATATATATATATATATATAATTATTATAAATATTAAATAATAAATTCTGCTTTTTTTAAAGAGTCTAAAAGATCTGTGATACTGATGATTAGAGAGTGTTCAGTTTTCAATGACTCAAGTCCTGGTAAACAGGCCTATTTTTATTTTTACTTTTTATTTATTTATTTTTTTTTTTTTCAAATCTATTTGTTTAAATCTAAATCTTAAATATCAGTTTAAATCTAAAACCTTAATGTACAAGTTCCAGCTATCAAGACTGAATTTTGTACAGATACACATTTTTCCCAAACCTTTGAGTATTCTTGTGTAAAGGTACATCTGTGAATCCTTTTTAGGAGCTCAAGGTGGTGCAGAAAATATCTCTAGTTTGTGAAAGCAGAAACGATCTACTGATCTGATCTTACCTTGGCATTGAAGAGCTTGGCCCCGAACAGAGGCCACTTGCGGGCCACGGTCAGATAAATCCTCACACATTCAGAGGCCGTGCAACCACGCAGAACTGACCACTTAGTGGCCAAACGCTCACCGAGCTCCCTGTGGGACAAAGATACAGTTACATTAAAAAACTGTCTGTATAATCAAAGGAAAACAACAGTGCACATTTCAAAGCAAAGTTTAAAAAAATAATTATAATAATATTACTATAAAGCATATGTGTGTGTGTGTGTATATATATATATATATATATATATATGTTTATATATAAATGTATAATTGGCTACTGTATAACTACTGACTGTGCTACATGTACATTGTTTTTTCTTCCTTATATATACATCACATTATGTAATATATAAAGTAAATGAAAATTGTGTAATATGTATAAATATTTTGTACATTTCATGAATGAACAGCATTAATATAATATTGATCAAATGCATACTGTTGTTTTAAAATATTGCTTATATTTACATTCAATTAAAAAACTATCACACAATAAAATACTCTTTAATAATTTAACTAAAGTGCACATTTTAATTGGCTACATTAATTGCAAATCTTTATCATTAATTCAGAAAACGGAATATCTATATAATTAATGAAACAATATATAAAATATTATATGAAATATGCTTTCTATTCGTATTTGTAAATTATAGTTAAAATAATTATAACAGTTTGGAATATATAATAATAATATAATATAATAATACATTGTTTACACATTCAATACATCATTTACAATAGAAATTTGTGTAAATCTAGTAGTTGAAATACATACTATTATAAATATATTTAAAAGTTCATACTATTATTTCAAATAATATTCAATTACATATATAGAAATTAACAGAATTGCATTAACAATCATTAAATGATGAATTACTTTATTAAAGAATGTAATCAAAGAAATAAATGCAGATTCACCTGAGCTGTTCCACACTGCATTCCTGCTTGTAGCGTTTGGGATAAAAGCGCTCCAGTACCTGCAGAAGAGTCTGTTGGGTCTTCGGTTGAGGAGAACCAACGGGAGACATTGCTGCACGATCTAGATCACCATACTCCACCTGAAAGACAAAGATGGCTGAGGTGTTTCTGTGAACCACCACTTAAGACACTCACAGTTGATCTATGAACACACACGCACGCACGCACCTGTGCCATGAGCGCTGCAACCTCCAAAGCCAGCTCCTTACTGACAGGAAAGTGCCCTTGCAGTACCTCGTCATTGACTTGATAGGCCAGCAGGAGGCGCTCTCGCTCAGTCTCACCCTTAGCCTGAGCTCGAAAACACAGCCTACAAAGACACACTAACATTACTAAAGGGACAGTTCATCCAAAATAAACTGTTGCTTATTATTTATTGTCAAATGGTTCCAAAATTGTAAGAATTTTTATTTATTTATTTTTTTTTGTGAACACAAAAAATCCATAGTAGGAAAATAAAATTAAAATAATAATAAAAAATAAATTATATAAAATAAAAATAAATTTACATAGAAAATTAAGTAAAATAATAAATAAATACATAAAGTATGTAAAATAAAAAAATAAAATAAAATAAAAATACAAATAATTAAATAAATAAAAATACAGTATTTAAAAAAATACATAAAAAAGAAAACACACACACACACACACGCACACGCACACGCACACACACACACACATAAAATAAATTATATATATCAAATAAAATAAAATAAATGATATAAAATAAAACTATATAAAAATGTATAAAATATAAAATAAAATTAATTATTTAAATAAAATAAAATTACATAAAAATAAAATAAAATATAGACTAAAATTTATTATATAAAATAATATAAAATTACATAAAAACCTAAAATGAAATAAAATATAAATAAAATAAAATAGTAGCGAGAAAGCTTAAGTAATTTTCCAGTTATCCTATTTTTGTTTTATATATATATATATTTTTATTATAAGAATTTTACATAACGGATCTCATTTTTATCATTCCATAAAAAATATTAACAAAAACAGAAAAAAAATTGAGAATAAAATAGGTATCTGGTAAATTATGCACATATAACATATTACTCTGTAAAAATGTTCAGAATAAATATATTAATAAAACTGCGAAGTCTGGTACAAGAGCTGCTGAAGTGGAGATTTCAGTGTAGGTGTAACACACCTGCTTTTATAGGTGAGCCGGACCGTTCGTGTTCCTTCATATTTTCCAGGATGAAGCTCCTTCAGTGCCTGTTCCCATTTGGAGATCACATCACAAATCTGCACCAGTAGATGAACACAAATCATTGCTTTAATCATCCTGCAGCACAGAACAAACAGACTGAAATGTATTATGTCTGTTATTATTATTCTCTACTTTATTGGCGGGCTGCAGGCAGTGCTCCAGGTCTTTGCCGGAGGGGTCGTCAGTGAAGAGAGCGAAGCCTGAAATCTGTGGTTTCCTCATGCCCGTCCTCTGGTTCACTGTGTTCAGGAACTCCTCCACTGTGGTGGAGCCATCAAAACCTACAACCTGCAGAGATGAAGAACCACGAAACAGTAACATTCAGTGCTCGTACAGTGCTCAGCATATATACGTAAACCCCCCACAGATCCTCGTCTTAAATTCATATTTTAATAGGAAGATTTACAATATTATATTTGTGCATATAGATCAGATTAGTCAGTACTGAAGCCTAATCTGGAGCTTATCTAATGAAATAACTTACGATAATGGTCCAAAAACGACTACACCCAAATTGATATCTTATAGAAAAATATTAAATACAAATTTTAAAAAATATAAAAAATCAACAGAAACAAAAAATGGAAACATTTAGTTGATTTTTTTGTAGTTTGAAATTTATTTTTGCAATATTTTGCTTGAATTTAAATGAATTATCTTTCAATTTTGAAATATGTTTAGTGACTAAAATATTATTTTCATAAATATATCTGTTTAATAAATCTGTTTTGTTTAAATGCACCAAAATACACTGACTATATTTACAAATGAATACCAATATTCATTTTCAAAATGGGCAGTACTCAATTATGCTGAGCACTGTATAATACAATTGTGTACATTTGTGCATTGGTCAAAGATGAAACAGGGCACTAATTACATGTGCAAGAAGACATCAATTATCCCAATTATTGTAATAGCTGGTTTGAGCTGCGGTCAAACTGGGCTTTTCCTCCCATAGGCTTCCATTCATACGCACGCAAATGGGTCAGACCGGAAATGCAGGGTCATGCGAAATCACATCACTAGACTGCGTGAGACCAATCAAGGATCAAAACATGACCTCTCTGGACAGAAATTTAAAACATGGAGCAATCACTCGCTTTCTTAATGTCTAATAATCTTGTTTAATCCACGGCCCTTTTCGCAGTGCCGTACGACAGAATTTCGCACACACAAACTCAAGTGAGACCACAGCTTTAAATGTGTTTTGATCACCAGCAGTGTTTTCTGCTGGAGATTACTTCCTTTAGTTTGTTGTAATCACCAGCTGTGTTTTCTCCATTGGAAATCATTTCCTACTGAACTCCATATCCCAGAAGCATTTGCACCAATCACTCCTGTCACAGCTGACAGTCATTGGACACACGCACAGCTGATACGAAGACCTTTGATTACATGGACTATTTAAACCCCTCTGTTTGTTGTCTTGTTTATCTGCCTAATTAACATTACGATGCCTTGTCCTGCCATGTTTTTAATGCTAACCTTGCCTGTTTGTTTACGTTGCCTTTTGACCATTTGCCTGTGTATTCGACTATCACTAGATTTCCGGTGTACTGTGCATCTGTTTGCCTGTATTGACCATTGCTTGCCTGACCATTTTCTGCATAATAATCCTAAACTGTCAGCACCTTACTTGCCAGCGTCCATTTCACGTTACAATATAAATATGTAATAAAGTTAACTCTTCATTTGAACGTAGGGTCTATATTATCGCAATCAACTTTTTCTTTGCTGTGGCCTCACAGTGGGAAGGTCGCTGGGTTGAGCCTCACGCAGTTTGCATGTTCTCCCTACGTTCGGGTTGGTTTCCTCCGGGTGCTCCAGTTTCCCCCACAGTCCAAAGACATGCGGTACAGGTGAATTGTCCGTAGTGTATGAGTGTGCGAGTGAATGTGTGTGTGGATGGGTTGCGGCTGGAAGGGCATCCGCTGTGTAAAAACTTGCTGGATGAGTTGGCTGTTCATTCCGCTGTGGCGACCCCGGAATAATAAAGGGACTAAGCCGACAAGAAAATGAATGAATGAATTAATGAACTTTTCCTTAGTTAAAAAAATAGTTCCTTTCATTTTATTGAAATACGATTTTGTGACTTTTCATCATCATCTATCTATATTTACATCAAAATTACGTTGACTTGATTCAGTTGTTCTGATGTTACGTAAAAAAATATTTTATTTTTCTAATATTTGGGGTCAATGTGACCCTTTATTGAAAATGAAGGAATCAAGCATAAATCTGAAAGTTTTTAAACAGAAATGAAGGCTTGGTATCAGAGCACATATGTACTATAGAATACACAAATTTACACACATAAACAAACTAGCACTTTTGGTCCGCACCTAGGTTCATTTGTTGTCAGAGTACGGTACATTTAGCTAGTGTGAATACTGTCTTCTGAACTCAAGTGCGCACTCACTAACCGTACCTGAGTTTGCCTGGAAGAGTTGGTTTGGGGTATGGTTTGTGCGAACTCTGGTATGGTTCACTTCTCATATGAATGCAATTATACTAAATAACGGAAGTAAAAAAACAAAATTGTACAGAACAAACAAACAAACAACATTTTCATAACGTTCATTCGTGAGAGTACACCTGTGTATCACCTACGTTGGCGACAATCAGGACTGTCCTAGTGCAAACATTAATAATGTCTGCTTGTCTCTATCAAAAATGACGGCTGCAGACACCGTGTGATGTTCTAAGTGTCTTTAATATTTTTTTGCGGAAAATAGACACAAGTGGCTCTCTGTATTTTGATTTTGGTAACAAAAGCAAAAGATCCAGTAAAAGCAGAATGACCATGATATGCGGACGTCCATATTTTGCAGCTTAACGTAAGCGTAACGGCTTCAAAAGGAAAAAAGACGATGTGAACACAAACCAGCGACTATGACTGCAACAGAGAGCATTTGTATAAAATTTGGTGGCGGTAACACTTTAGAATAATGGTCCATTAGTTAATGTTAGTTAATGTATTTACTAACATTAACTACTTCTTCTTCTTTGGCCTTAGCTGTTTTGCGGGCTTTTTTTACAAATTACGGCCGGCCTGTTGTCTGGGCCTGTCACCCCTATACACTCATACACTACTGACAATTTAGCCTACCCAATTCACCTACAGCATGTCTTTGGACTGTGGGGGAAACCGGAGCACCCAGAGTAAACCCACGCGAATGCAGGGAGAACATGCAAACTCACAGAAATGCCAACTGAGCCAAGGTTCGAACCAGCGACCTTCTTGGTGTGAGGCGACAGCACTACCTACTGCGCCACTGCTTTGCCCCTATTTACTAACATTAACTAAGTATGAATAATCTTGTAAAACATTTGTTAATCACAGTTCAACATTAAAGCATTTTTTAAAATCCGAAGTTGTACTTGATAACATTAGTTAATGCACCATAAGTTAACATGAACTCATGTTATTTAACTTAACATTTACTAACATTAACAAAGATAATTAAATACTGAAATAAATGTATTATTAATAGTTTATTCATGTTAGTAAATACATGAACTAACAATTTTTTTCCTATACAATTAGTAATAACCTGCTCGACATTACTGCCTGCTTCACTTCCTCCAGTGCACTTTTGGATCAGCTGCAGGGTCGTCAGGGGGCAGGGGAGGGTATCGTATGCTGCTCTAACATGAACTAATGTACCATTATTTTAAAATGTTACAAATTTGGCTAATAAGACATAATGCTCACGTACACACACACCCTTTTTATTGAAGTGACTTTAAATTATAACAAAAATAAAGTAATATTTCACAAACAGGGGAAAGGTGTAGTTGAGTTTTTTTGTTGTAAACTAGGTACAAAGTTAGTAGTTTATATCACCCAAAACACATCATTGTATATAAAATTTTTACATAATTTGTATTAATATACATTTTTTTTTACAATTACTCCATAAATTGTTGCTGTCATATAGACCCCAAATAGAGAATTAGTACAGAATAAATGCATACAGTTTGAAGGTTAAATGTAATATGTTTGTGTTCACCTCATAAGTGTTGTTCATGAAATGTACAGGGATGCTGAAGGGCAGAGAGTGATGGTACGGGTTTCTCAGCAGTATAGACAATATTTCCATGCGTGAAGGCTTTGCTTCTCTCTCTCCATTCTGTAAAGTTCTCTCTACTGAGCGCTGGCAATACACTGCATACTTCCCCACTTCAGTCCTGTGAGTAAACACACACAATCAAACACTTTCAGACACATTCACATCACTGAAAAACCTTCATTCTTACTTGCATCTTAAAGGGTTAGTTCACCCCAAAATAAACATGAACTGATCATGTACTCTCCCTCATATGGTTTTAAACATTTACGCTTCGTTTTTCTGTTGAACACAAATTAAGATATTGTAAAGAATGATGGGTGCCAGCAACCAGCATTCTTCCAGCAACCAGCATTCTGAAACTCAGGTACATTTTGAAGAAGTGAAGGGTGAGTAAATGATGACAGTTTTCATTTTGGGGGAAACTTTTCCTTTATGTGGCTTTTGCAAAGGTTAGTGATAGGAACTCAGTTATTGGAACTAACCATAAATCCCTGCACAGCATCAGTCACGGCATAATAAAGAAATGAAAACGAACTGAAAGGATTGAGGATGCAGTGACGCAGAAAATAAGCTTTCATTGTGTGTTTTGAAATAATTAATTTTGTAAGCAGCATAGATTCTTAAAGGGACAGTTGACCAAAAAAAAAAGTATTTAAGTTCTGTCATCATTTACTCCCCCTTTACTTTGCCAAACCTGTTTGAGTTTCTTTTCTTATGTTAAACACAAAAGAGGATATTCTAGCTGATTTAAATGTTATCACTCGATTGAATGTGCGTTATTAGTCGTTATCAGCTCAGAAGGCTGTAAAAACAGATCTGGATCTGGAGTCTTTTCTATTAGTATAGCTGATTAACCATGTGGATGAATGATAACAGCCTTCTGAGCCTACTAATAGGTGGAGAAGGCTCCTACTGGCCCTTATCTATCAGCTGATAACCACTAATAACGTCCATTCAATCGAGTGATAACATTCAAAGCAGATGGATATTCTGCAGAAGGCTGTAACCATTGACTTCCATAGTGTTTTAGTATAGTATTTTGGTCACACTTTACAATAAGGTTCATTAGTTAATGTAAATTAATGCATTTAGTAAGATCAACAAACAATGAACAATACATTTACAACTGTATTTGTTCATGTTAGTTAAAGTTAATGAAAATACAGTAGTTCATTATTAGTTCATGTTAACTCATGGTGCATTAACTGATGTTAACAAGCATGGACTTGAATGTTAATAATGCATTAGTAAGTGTTCAATTATGGTTAATAAAGGCTGTACATGTGTTGTTCATGATTAGCTCATGTTAGTAAATGCATTAACTAATAAACCTTATTGTAAAGTGTTACCAGTATTTTTCAGTATTATAGTATACTCGGGTACAGGTTTTCAGCTATATTTAAAAGACCTTCTTTTGTGCTTAACGTATAAACTATAAAGGGTTGGAACCACTTGAGAATGAGTAAATAGTGAGTGCATTTTTATTTTTAGGTGAACTTTCCCTTTAAGTTATGCAACTAAAAGAGCAAATAATAGGTTTACGTATCACTGAGGTTGAGAAATGAACACAACACCACAGACAAAGGTGACAGGTAAATAGTATTAACATTACCTTTCTGTATGTTTATGACTTGTAAGAGTAAAAATATTGTGCCAGTGTTTTGAATGGCATGCATTTGCCTAATCAACATACTGTACACGTACAGTACATTGTTTATTGTATAGTCCCAGATTAGATCTTACTCTGAAATATGAGCTAGTTTAGTCTCTAACTAAAATTGTTTGCTGTTCCGAACAGATTAATACGTTTATTCAGCAATGAAACAGGAAATAATATAATTGATTTGATATAAAAACCACTGGCGAAGCAGTGGCGCTGTTGGTAGAGCTGTCGCCTCACAGCAAGAAGGTCGCTGGGTCGCTGGTTTGAGCCTCGGCTTAGTTGCCGTTTCTGTGTAGAGTTTGCATGTTCTCTCTGCGTTCGCATGGGTTTCCTCCGGGTGCTCTGGTTTCCCCCACAGTCCAAAGACATGCAGTACAGGTGAATTGGGTAGGCTAAATTGTCCGGGGTGTATGAGTGTGTGTGTGAATGTGGATAACCCAAAACAGCAAAACGGCTGAAATACAAACTGTGTCCTGAGTCGCAGCTGGACATCGCCGACTTGCGGCTCCTATATGTGTACCCTGATAGAAACTTATGTTTAGAATTCTAAAATATTTTTATATTTTTATTTATTTTACAGACCTATAATACGCTGTTGTTCTATTGGAATTTTCATTCCAAAATGGCCACGACGGCATCTAGTGGCTGTTTTTCCAAATTGCACTAGAGTGTCACCTCTTGGTGATTCTATGTTCTTTGTCTTAAACTCCGCCTCTCCTTTCCTTTGATTGGAGAATGAAAAAGACGCGAGTGTTTCCGCTCACAGTTGACGAGAGCACATGGTGCACAAGGGCAAAAATGCGAGGCGCAGCAAGTGGTTAAACACGAGACGCACAGGGTGCTTAAGCAGCGTGCAAAACGCTTTCGGCCGTTAGTAAACCATTCAAAAAAGTCGCCTGCCAATGAAAAAATGTTCGGTGTAATCGCTCCCTTTGACTGCATCACAGCATCTTAAAAAATCCCTAACATGTTATTAAATTCAACTACAAATAATATCTTATGCAGCATTTCAACATATCAGAAAATGATTTCTGAAGTCTCTTGTGGCACTAAAAAGAAAATTAGGCTCACAGAAATAAAACATTTTAAAATATCCCAAAATAGACTTTCGTAATGAACATTTCACAATATTTCTCTTGACATTGTTTAATTTATTGAACACATACAGCACCATAGAGGATTGAATGCTCCGAAATCTGAAAAATCTGTAATACATTTAATCAAACATAACACAATACATTTGCTATGTAGTAAGCGCGTGACACTGACCTGGGATCTGCGTTGCGCTGCAGATACTGTCTCAGGTACCACAGAAAATGATGCTGCGGCAGGAAAAGAGCTACGCACAAGGACAACAGCTGCCAGCACTGAGAACCACACAGACACACACACACAGAGAAATATAAAATCTGATGTTATGATGATGATCGAGTGCTTGTGTGTGTTGAGATGACCCTGACCTGTGTGAGGGCGTAGTTGTGAGGAGTTCTGCAGTTGGTCTGCTTGATCAGCTGACAGTACATCTCATTCTGCAGCTCTGGATGGGTCAAGCACACCTGCAGTGCATTCTGGGCCAGCGAGGTGTGGTAGTCAATTGAAGGAGACTCCACCAGCACATTGATGAACAGCTGACATGACTACCGAAAAAAGAAGAGAGAAAAAAAAGCGTTCCCTGACACATCACCATCATACTCGCATAATATTTACTAAAACAAATTACGAACTAAAATACATTTAATACATATATATTTATACCACAGTTCTGTCTGGTTCTTGAATCTGATTGGCTGATAGCCGTGCAATATTCTGCCAGTAACAGCACTTGTCCAGCCTCTTAACCTTTCACCCTGTATTACTCCGTCCACATACAGCAACAAGCAGAGGACACTACAGTTTGACAAATATTGCTGCTGTTGGACATCATAATGTACTTTTGAGGCTTTTTTAGTGCAGAATGTAGTTGTTTGGATTGCAACTATGCAGTTTATTTATAAAGATAGAGCCTGTTTTTAAATATTTATAATTTCTGAGAAACAGCACATCGGTAGCAATAGACCTATTTCACAACGACGCCACTTCACTTCCCCTATCATGTGAAAAGGGTTGACGTGTTCATCCACAAGATGACGACAGAGACCGCATAAGCCCTAAGAGAAAAACAGTGCAATTTCAAACTAAAGCTGATCAAATCATTATATAACAGGTAAATGACGGTCTAAGTCAAACTCTTTCTTTTGTAAGTTGTAATGATGTATTTAAACCATAGTAATATTGTGATCTCTTGATTGCAAAAGAAAAATATTGGGAAATCTCTGTAGACTAATGACATTTCATGCCTTTCAGCTTTATAATCCTAAAATTTTTGCAAAATCACCTGTTTTGTCATCACTTTAGACCAGGGGTGCTCAACCCTGTTCCTGGAGATCTACCTTCCTGCAGATTCCAGTTGCAGCCCTTATTAAACACACCTGTTTGTATTTATCAAGTCCTGTTCAGGTCCTAATTAATTGGTTCAGGTGTGTTTGCTCAGGGTTGGAGCTGAACTCTGTAGGAAGGTAGATCTTCAGGAACAGGGTTGAGCACCCCTGCTTTAGACATTATGCAAGAGTATCATTCAAATACTAGCTGTAAATTGACGTTTGTGAAGTAGCAACGGTTCCTGCTGTTCTGATGTGAATGAATAGCAGAAGAAAGTTCCTCATACAAAAGAATTATGAGACTCTCCGTGTTTTTTTTCTATTTTTATACACATGATTATGCTGTCGAACTGTTGTATAAACGTGATATCACACGAATAGCAGTGCGATGTGGCTGTATATCAGTGCCGATATACAGCCACATTGCACTGCTACTCATGTGATATTACTATTGCTATTGTGCTATTGTATAATTAGATCTTTTAACGATACATTCTGAATGCATTCAAATAAAAAATTATTTCGTTTTTAAGATTTTTTTGTTAAATAATCATTAAAAAAATGAAATTTAATGACATTTCAATTTGAAAATATATTATAAAAAGAAAGCTTTTTGTATCTTTTTTATTCATTTATATAAAAAAACAATAATAAACAATTATTATATTATAATTAGAATAAATTCTCTGGTGTATTTGGTATAATAAAATAAAAATAATAACACTAAAAAAATTATTTACTCATAATGCATAAAATTACTTATTAAAATAATAGTCTCCAACACTGGCAGCTTACTGGGGCTACTAATTCATTTTAATTCATTAGTGTATCATTTTATTTAATAAATAACAAAATGTAAAAAAAAAAAAAGAAAAGAAAAAAATTAATAAATAAAAATGCTGTAAACAATTAAATTGTAATTACATTTACTATAACTATAATTCATTATAATTGTATTAATTTTATAATTTACTCTTCATTTTACTGACATCTGGACCTTTATATGAAAAAGACATGTAATTTCAGTGACTGAAGTTGATTTTCCCAAATATTTTGATATAAATAAATTAATAATTCATGATTATTGTAAAAAAACTGCATTTTTTAAAAAGAAATGCATTTTTATAAAATATGATGAGTCCTCCTACATATACATGTGTTACTGTAGGAAAAAAGCTATTAAGCAGATTTTGTTTCTTAAACTCTGTATATTTTTTTTTTCAAACCTATATGAGAACCAAGCCTTTTGCATGACAGTTTTAATAGATTTAAGTTTTTTACAATCTCACTTCTATGTCATTCTGTGTTTTTATAGCTTTGTTGTGCAGGACGAGAGAAGCCGAATGAAATGGTCATTATACAAAAACAACCAGCAGATGGCAAAGCTCTAACACAAGACACACAGCTGCTTCTGTGGCCGACACACACATACACACACACACACACACGACAACATGCTTTGCTTTCTTATTAACATTCCATTTTTTGTTCTTACAGAAAATCCTACAATGCAAATGAAATCAAGTCAGGATGTAGCCATCAACCCCACATTCATTACTCCAGAGTGGGAGGCAATTTTCTTTCAGTATCAAATGACTACCTAAAAAAGATCTTCAAAGAGCTCATGATGCTCCGCCACTGAACTGTCAATAGAGCAGAATGTCTGCAATCCTCAGGAGAACTGGGCTCTCAATGGAAAACGGGTGCCTGAGGATAAACTGAAATGAAAGCGTCTCTCCAAACACTGTCACGGCTCTCTTTGAACTGCAGATGAAATGTTTAGGCCTGTCCTCAAAATGAGATGTTACGGGGCTGGTGGCGGTTCTCACACAGAGCCACTGCTAGGAGGAACTGACTAGAAGAAGTCATGCTTCTAAAATGATATTTAAGCATGATGCAATACAGTAGCATGTCACTATTCTGCTTGCTGTATTTATATTTAGCTGGTAAAAAGTTACAAATGAGAGACAATTGTGAGGTGTAATTTCATAAATGTATACATTTACTGTAGGTGAAATATGGATAAGTTCAAATGTTTGGGACTAAAATGAATAAAAATTAAAATTAGCTTCAATAACCCAGTATTTTCTAGAGTTAGATTGATCCATGTGACTAAAACCTTTGGGATCCACTTACTACAATGACAAAAATAGTCCACTTTATGATTCAGTGCTGTTTTTACAGGTTGTGTTAGCAAGCCTAAAAGTGGATGAAGTCATTATGCTTTTGTGTGCTGTGGGCCATTGACTAATCATTCAAATAAGTGAAAACAATGTAAAAAATTGTCATTCTTGATAAAATCACATTTAAAAATGGAATTCAAGCAATTGACAGGTTTCGCCCACAAAACAGATCTCTCTCTCTCTCTCTCTCCCTCTCTCTCTCTCTCTCTCTCTGTCTCTGTCTTTTTACTGAACAGTTTAGACTTACTTTTTGATGCTATGAAGTAGGGCTGTTTGATTTGGAGAATCATTGTGATTTCTCTGACAGATATTGGGATTTGATTTGCAATTTAATTTTGTACTCCTTTTGTAGCTTTTGTTAATTTTGTAGCTTCCAATCAATTATCTGTAAGCCGTATATATACAGTTGAGGTCAGAATTATTAGCCCCCTTTTGATTTTATTTCATTTTTTTTAATATTTCCCAAATTATTTTTAAAAGAGCAAGGACATTTTCACAGTATGTCTGAAAATATTTTTTTCTTTTGGAGAAAGTCTTATTTGTCTTATCTAACTTGCCTAATTACCCTAACCTGCCTAGTTCACCTTATGAACCTAGTTAAGCCTTTAAATGTCACTTTAAGCTGTATAGACATGTTTTGAAAAATATCTAGTAAAATAATTTTTACTGTCATCATGTCAAAGATAAAATAAATCCATTATTAGAAATAAGTTTTTAAAACTATTATGCTTAAAAATGTGCTGAAACAATCTTCCCTCGATTAAACAGAAATTGGGGGAAAAAATAAACAGGGGCGCTAATAATTCAGGGGGCTAATAATTCTGACCTCAACTGTATGTATGTATGTATGTATGTATGTATGTATGTATGTATGTATGTATGTATGTAGGTAGGTAGGTAGGTAGATAGGTAGATAGGTACATAAATAGACAGACAGACAGACAGACAGACAGACAGACAGACAGACAGACAGACAGACAGACAGACAGACAGACAGACAGACAGACAGACAGACAGACAGACAGACAGACAGACAGACAGACAGACAGATAGATAGATAGATAGATAGATAGATAGATAGATAGATAGATAGATAGATAGATAGATAGATAGATAGATAGATAGATAGATAGATAGATAGATAGATAGATAGATAGCTTTTTCACATAGATGATCAAGAAAAAAGTGGCTTCTCTGTCATTGCGGCTATTTATCTGCTGCAAAAGCAGAGATGTGTAGGTCTACAGCAGGGAGAATGCAACCAGCCTCTCGAGGAGCTGAGAGAGGATCACGTGAGCTCTACTGGCTCTCCTATTGGCTGTCGCTCAAGAAAGTCGCTCTTTATTTGCATAAAGTTGAAAGATTCTCGACCTTGTGGCATTGACCAACACGCCCACTTAGTCAGGAGGCGTTTCTGTCTCTTGCGTAACCTGCCGGAAGTCGCTCACTCTGTATTGAAATGAACAGTCGCTTTGCCGCTGTGAGTCACTCGTAGTGTGAATGAGGCTTAAGAATCTTTATTAAAAACATTTTAAAAATGTTTATAAAATTAATTACTTAGTTGCAACTGATCATAGAGAGTTGTAATGTATGTTTTAATCCCAGTGTCTTTGCAAAAAAAAGTGGATATGAATACAGTACATGTTATTATGGTGACATGGCACCTGTCACAATTGTGTCCAAACAGCTTCCAAAAGGTGATTTTCATCATAGGTTCCCTTTAAACTAGAAAAAAATAAAACCTAACAATTTAAAACATAATAAAATCTTAAAAATATCTTACTGAAATTCTAACTGAACAAATATCTACTGTTTGATAAAAATGTGTTTATATGTACATACAACTGGACTGACACAGTTTCAATTTACTAGATATTCTATGTTGAGCTGCTTTGACTCAATCTACATTGTAAAAGCACTATAAAAATAAAGCTGAATTGAATAGAATTTACGCACACATCATCTGCTGAGAAAATCCTTTTCCTGAATCAGATTTTACTTTATCTGTTCTTATTTGATACAACGATCTTTGATATTTTCCGCCAGAGCGCCCGTCCTGATTTTATTCAATCGAGTGCTCCCAAGCACTTCTGTTTTAAAAGAAAATCTGCCAGCATGTTGAACTACTTTAAGTAATGAGTAGTTCGTATCTCAGCAAGCTACCATTCAAAGCAGCTTCCTCAACACAACTACTCTGCAGAAGAGAGGGGTTACGTCAATCAGAGCCCAATCCAGCTCATTATCTCCTGTGCTATAATGAGCTCACAGCCTTTGATCCTGCTGTGGGAGACAGAGCTGCTCTCTCAAAGAAACAAGACAGCACGGCACCATCAACCCTCAGGAGAGCAGCATGAGGACAGAGATGGAGAGACTCTTCAAGAGAGATAAAGACTACATTTAGTGCATTTTTGAGAAACAAGGCTCTATTGGTTAATGCTAGTGAACGTACTTATTAACATAAACTAAAAATTTAAACAATCATCATGTAAAGGGTTTAATCATCATATATCAAAATTACAACCCAAACTCATTCTGAAAACGTAGCCCCGCGGATGTTTCTGGAGACTGCGATTTACGTGGCTGGAGGTACGTATGACCGCATTTTGTTTTTTTTAAGCAAACGCTACGGGGTGGTGTGAGGTTGCTCCTCTTCGCGCTCGCCGGCTGGCGGCTTGCCTCCGTGTGGAGGGCTTTCCCGCCACAACGAATTTGTCTGGTTAGCTCGTCGTGTAACATTGGCTCGTCGTGTAACATTGGCCCGGAGGAGGAGGAGCCAGCCAAGGCGCCTACCGGGTTAGAGTCTGGGGAAGAGTGGTTCCAAAAATCAGGTAGGACAAAAAACCGAATCCAAAAAATAAAGCGAACAAGTTCGTAACAGGGCGAAAATACGGTGAAATCCGAAAACGTGGTCAAAATCGGAAGAATAAAATTTTCTTTTTCTGGACGGCTTTTGTAAATCGTCGATTGGGTTTAGGGAAGAAAGAGGAGGAGGAGGGTGGTTGGGTCGGCCAATAATTGGTCGGCCGCCCAGTCAATCGTTCAGTCATTCAGCCAGTCAGTCAGTCGGACAGACGGACGCTCGACAGCGGCCTCCTGCGGCTTTTTACCTGAGAACAGCGCGGGTGCAAGGCATTCGAGACGCAAAAAAGCATGCACAGCGGCCTCTCGCGGATTCGCGAAAACAAAAACTGCACAAATATGTACCTCCCGGAATGTATTTCACAGTCTCCTAGAAACATCCATGGGGCTACGTCTCCAGAATGAGCCTGGGTTGCAAAATTACCTAATGCATTGTTGAAATCCAAAGTTCCACTTGTTATGTTAGGGATAAAGTACAACCAGCAGGTTGTTATCACAGAATAAAGTCCAACGACACTTGGATAAGACTTAAGTGCTGTATTCTGTAAAAACAACCATTCTGGATGTACTTTATACAGCTTTCTGCCACAAAACTTTAAAATTTGACAGAAACATTGCCATAATATTATAATATTAAACACAAAGCTGATAGAAACGAAAACGCCTGATGGAGCATCCGCTAACCTGTGCATTATTCAGTCACAAGATACCATCAAAAACTGAGGCCTGACAGACTAGCAGATACATAGGAAAGTGGATGTAAGTAAATGGATTTGAACATGTTCATAGGGATGACATATCTTGGAATGTTACGACTGACCATTTAGAATAGAGTATTCCAGACAGTCATGTAATAACATTAGTTTCCACATTACTCCAGAAGTTCCAACCTTCGATAACTGAGTATTTCGTAAATGTTGCAGAGTCCCTTTTTTTAAACTCTGGGGTTGGGATTCATTTTAGATGAACCAAAAACAAACTACTGAAAACAAAAGCATTCGTTCCACATTAATTCCCTGATTGGCTCTTCGGGACCATTCTGTATTAAGACATGAATCACAAAAATGAAACAATACTCATAATGGTGATATGAAAAGAACTTAGCATTCGCTTCAGCAGTTTAGAACCTCTTTAAATGGGTGGCATTAATCGCTATATTTATGCCGCCTCTATTGCCTTGACCTCCTGAAAATTTTTCATTCTGTCTTCCCATCCAACTCTTGCTGGATTCCCTTCTTCGTTTTCAAAGGGAGGAATGTCTGGACATTTTCTACTAAACATGATTATGCCATTTCTGGTGTCTTTTTCTTGCATGTGATCAAACAATACAGCAGTGACTGCAGTTGATTAATTAAATATAGCGGGTCCTTGGAATGCAAATCCAGTTTTTGTTTAATCCATTGTTAAACATTTTGATCAAGTGGTGGTGGCTGGTGTGTATACGTCACATATTAGAAATGGTACATTTCGCTTAGAACCTCACCCAAGGTGGTATTAAAAAAGGTAAAAAAAAAAAAAAAAGTACCAGGTACTAGGTAAAGATTCCAATGGAAAGGCCCCCAAAATGAGCCAAACCAAACTGAACAAAGCTGGGTAATGTAGTAGAAAAGTGCCTTAATATTGCAAAAAGTGCATATCCTAATTGTTTTCTTAATTTTAAAAAGCCACAAGGTTTTGTTTTTATTGTGAGTTTTCAAAATACCATCAAATTTACATTTGATGTCATAAGGCAACAGCAAAAAAGTCTCTCGCAGAAGTAACACCAAAGTGTTTGTGAAGTTTTAAATAAGGATTTCTTTCTACAAAACTGCATTTAGTCGCAACAGGAGACCTTTGTTCATCCTCCAGGGATGGATGCAATTTACTGGACTTCTTTTAAACAACTGATGAAAAACACCATCTCGCTGTCCTTATAGAGCTGGAAAAGCCCAAGACACTTTTTCAAAATAACATTGAATAATATTGAATTCTGCTAAAAGAAGAAAGTCATATACACATAGGATGCCTTGAAGGTGAGTAAATAATGGGCTAATTAAAATTTCTGGGTGAACTAACCCTTTGATGCATTTTTTTTAATTGAATGTCATTATAATAAGTGTTTTTTATTAATAACTTTATCTAATATTTGTTGTGATGTGTATTTTTGCTTCTATGTTGTGGATGAAGATCTTTTCTGATATGTAGTGAAAGCACCAGTACAGACAAGGATCATTTATTTATTAAAATGCTGTTAAACAAAAGTGCACCAGTCTACTGTAAATGTAGACTTAGAACGATAGAGAGACTTTTCAAGTGAGATAAAGACAACAAGAAGCCCTTAAGACTAGAGAGCGTTTGTGCTGCAGAAAGACAGATAACAAACTAAAGGAGTAAAGGAAGACACAGACAACCCAGACAACAGTGTTTACCTTAAAGAGCTTGATAGCTTCGGTTTGAAGTGCCTCGGAGGGCAGTGTGGTGAGTGGGTACCGCAGACCCTCCTTACTAAAGCACAGCACTTCACGCTTCCACAGAGCCGAGTCTGCACACATCGAAAAACAACACAACAGCTGCCATCAGAACTGGTCATAAACACCGTCTGGGGTCATTCAATCTGTCTGTCTCAGTTTAATTGAGAAACAGTTGTATGTGTTGAACACGTGTGCAGTTGGTAGGGGGTGGGGGGTGTCTGACCTGAGACGCCATCCACATCAAGCAGTTTGCCGATCAGCTGCTCAAACTCTGTGCCTACCCTCAGGCTGGCAGAACTACCCGCCGCCACGGTCAGGTGATACAACCAGGTGTCCTGAGAGAAAGATGACAAGAAAAATAAGTGTAAACGTGTGTTGCATTATAACTGCCTTTTGTTTGAGCTCAAACAGAGGCACTGCTTAACAGGTTATCAAATTTGTATTTCCTATTACTAAAAACAAAACAAAAACAATACAAAAGTGCAAATCAAATGAAAAACAAAACAAATGAAAAACAAAATCGAAACAAATCAAATCAAATACAAAACAAAAATCTAAAACTGAACAAAAATCAAAAACAAATATAAAACAAAACAAAAACAAAAAACTAAAAAAAAACAAATGAAAAAAATAAAAATAAAAAATCTAGACCAAAACAAAACAAAACTAAATAAAATTAAAAACTAAACTAAACAAAAAATAAATAAATAAATAGATAAAACTTAAAACAAAATAAAAACAAATGAAATACAAAACAAAAATCAAAACAAAACAAATCAAAATTAAATTAAAAACTAAACTAAACTAAAAAACTTAAAAAAATTAAAACCAAATCAACAAATCAAATCAAATACAAAACAAAAATCAAAAACAAAACTACACTACATTACACTAAACTAAACTAAACTAAACTAAACTAAACTAAACTAAACTAAACTAAACTAAACTAAACTAAACTAAACTAAACTAAACTAATTTAGCTTATTAGCCATTTATTAGTACTATGCGCAATATTCAATTTCAAATATTTTTTCTTAATCACTATAATTATTTATAAGCATCAATTTAGATGTTGACTGAGGGTGTTCATAGTAAACAGTTAGCTAATGGTGAGAAATAGCCTCTAAACCTAAGTGTCAATTAAAAAAAAGAGTTGGCATCTAACTTTGATTAAGTAAGCTGAAAAAAGACATACAGAAATAACTACAGCCAAAACTGAATTATAATTAAGCTAAATTGAAATTAATAAAACTAATAAAAATGTTAAAGGTGCACAGTAAAATTTACTATATAGACCATATAGACCATTTTGATGTGGTGATGTCACTGACCCATGAACATTTCCAGTCAGTTCACAAAGTATTTTGTAACTGGAACAAGAGGCAATTTTATCATATCCAAATGTAAAACAGCTATCATAACATTATTTATCCATATGTGGACATTTTTTAATTCTTTGACCATTGTTATAGTTTAAATCGCTCAAAATGGTCTATAAAAATTAAATTTCCAGGTTGCACAGACTGAAAAAATATCCAATATACTGGAACAAAATGTAGTCTTAAAAAATGACCTTAACCCTGCTGCACCCCTTCACAGAGAAACATTTTGTTTATGTATAACTTATTTTACATATGGTATTGTAAATAACAAAATGCAAAACATTACTTAAGTAAATGTTAGGCAAATTCACAGATGTGGTGTAAATGATACCTTTTCTTGTTTAGTGCCGACGAGAAGGTAGGTGGGGCTTTGCTCTTTGGGATGAACCACTAATGTGAAGTGAGAGGAGAGGAAACCCCGCCCACCCGCTTCATAATCCTCATCAGAGTCACATGACCTGTCCACTTCTTCTACCCGTGCTTCTCGAACACGCAGCTGACCTAGTGGAAACTGCCACCACAAACATTTATTGGATCTCAAACATACAACAGCATTATGTGCAAGAATTTAAAAAAAAATAATAATAGAGTTAAAAAAATATTTTTTTTAAATTACACACAGCAGCTTTAAAGGGTCATGCAAGCCCCCTGTCTCAGCAGGGTATTTTCACACCTCTAGTTTGAAAAAAGTCAGGAAAGTGGATGAGTTCAGCTTTGTTTAGGTGAGTGTCGAGTGGCGAAAGAGGGAAGGGTTTGCATAAAAAGTGGAGTTTTATTATGTGTATATGCTGTTTTTCACACCCAAATACAGTGAGTACGTTTACATGAACATCAGTATTCAAATGATTTGCCTTAATTGCTTTTTTGAATGTTCTTTTCATGATCCCGTTTCACATGTTATAGCACAAATTTTTATCAAAATCGTTGCATTTGTGCCATGCTATCCACACTTCCTTCAGAGTTTCATGTAATTTCGGGTGTTTCATTGTTAGTTTGTCGCCTTTAACTGCAGTATGGCACTTTCACTTTCATTCAGGAACATTTCATGCGTGCCCCCTGTGGCAAACGAGACATTGAATGAGAGTATGAACTGCTGGAAGAGTGTTGTTTCAATGGAATTTGATTTCGCACACTGTATGGGAGAAAAAAAACCTCTGCATCTTTCGGTAGATGTAGAGACTAGGTAGGTGCAGAGAATGGCGTCAAACAGCCATGTGTGTATAGACCAAGGGTGTCCAAACTCTGTCCTGGAGGGTCATTGTCCTCCATAGTTTAGCTTCAACACACCTGCCTGGAAATCTAGTATACCAAGAAGGAGCTTGAGTAGGTGGTTCATGTGTGTGTAATTGGGTTTGGAACTAAAATACGCAGGACACTGGCCCTCCAGGTCCGAGTTTGGACACTACTGGTATAGGCTATACTGTCACAAAATGCAGCAAAAATCATACACGGTGAAAATCCTACACAACGGTAATAGTTTGATTAATGTGTTTTCAAGTTTACATTCGGAGAGCAGCAATTACAGCGGATCTTTCAGTCCATAATATATGATTAATGATATTAATGTACTGTAAACTTAGTAACTAAATCCTTTTGACTAAGGTATGTCTTTAAAAACTGAAAAAGTACTGCTGACAATATGAACTAACTTTGCCATCTAAATATAAACATAAACAAAGAACACTGATCACACACTTACCAAATCTGTAGACAATGTACAATCAACACCAACTGGAACTGAGTCTTTTTTTAAAGGAGACGAGCAGTAAATCCGTACTTCACCATTTCCAGATTCAAAAAGCTCTCAGGTAAAAAATGTTCCTTACAAACATGTTTTTATTGCATGTTAGCAGACAATCCACATAGCATGTAATCCACAAATGTGGGCCCACACGCGAGCAGTGCTTTCATTCCAGGAAAATGAAAACAAAACCGTCATTGTGGCACATTTATTAACGCAACACTGATGACCCATGACTCTGAATAATTCTTCTTCCACTTGTTTTAATTATGGTTGTCAACACAACGTGGCATCTCTAAACACTGTAACAGCTAAAAGGAGCCTTCGAAGTTGTACCATGCATATTAATGAAGTTGCGCCTCATTCATAAGCGTGCTGATTGGTTCAAACAAAGTCTTTATCATGAATTAATGATAAAAACTCAAAGACGTCATGTTGTACCAGCAGATACAGACATCCAGTCTACACGCTGGATTTTACACAAGGATCTCATCGCCGTGACGTAGCTTACATTTTTCTAAATAACGCAAAAACAACCAATTTTTACTTTTTGGTGAAATATATGTGTCCTTATGTGTGTGCTTTTAGCATCGTGGAACACATACTGTATATGATTGTCAACACCTCAAAAAATGTGTTTTGGTGTTTCATGACCCTTTAAAGTCTACATAGCAAATAAACAGTAATAAGAGAAGTCAAACTGAAGCAGTCAAACTGACGTCAACAGAGAAGGACCACCACTTCATACATTGAAGCAAATGATCAGCTTTTGATTAAAGATTACCAAAACAAACATTTTTATTAAGTGGATTAACTTGCACAGACTTCTTGTTTACCTAAAGAATAATATGTGCACTAGCAAAATATAAATTGTAAATATTGATGACACATGGACTTTAATTAAAACTTTGAAAAGCTTTTAATTCAGAAATGTGAAGATATTCACCTTGTCTTCTTGGTTTCGGTAGTAGTAAAAGACTTTCCCAATTAAGGCACACCACACAAGCTTTGAATGACCATGTTTCACCTGGAGTGGAAAAAAAAACTGATTAATTCCAGATGTACAACAGCCCAAATATATTCAATCTGTGTTGTGGCATACAGTAGATGCAGATAGATGCAGACACAATGCAAATATAAAAGCACAGTACATTCTTTTACAGTACATAAAGACCAAAGTGATTCACCAAGAACAGCACAAGGTCAAAAACCTGAATGAAAATGAAGTATGGGTAATCTGCTAAAAACACAGGCATAAGACAAGGGAAGACATGAGTTATTGAGTGATCAATGTTACGAATGCCAGTAAACTGATTACCTCACACCTTAATAAGTTACCATCGATAATTCATTTAATTAATTTCATTTTTCATAAATTTGGAGTCTGAAAGAAAAATACCCTAAAAAGTCCCTCCTTTGCAAGCAGGAAAGAAAGTTATTTAGATCAGGGATTCCCAAACTTTTCAGCATGCGACCCCTGAAATAACAATGCCAGTGACTCCTCTTAGGTGGCTATGAATATGCAAATGTTGCTCATACAACAATAACCCTATATAAACACGAGCATATTGACAACACAAAAAGACCAAAAGTCTAACAATCATATCGTTTTATAGTCACTTATCGATTTGTTTAATTTAATATTTACCTTATTTTTAGTGTATTTGATTGCCATAAAGGTGTCAGAAAGTTTAACCTGTGCTATAAAATCAATGTACTGCAGCTGACGCAATTGCTTTGTTGGTAATCTAACGGAAACACACCAATCCTATGAAAAAAGATTTTTTAATAGCTTTTCATTTGCATGCTGTTGTTTTTTACTATTAAAACTAATGTTTTTTGTCTTCTGTGGGTTATGCTTAAAAATATGGTAATTCTAATAGTTTAATAAAATTAATTTGACTTTTGAAATTACCAAGCGACCCCCTGTCATTGTCTCGCGACCCCCACTTTGGGAATCACTGATTTAGATTAACGGTAATGGAGTACATGAATTATACCAAAATATTGATGAGCATATTTAAATTTTAACTTTTTTTTTTTTTTTTTTTAAATGGTCAATTTTAATTCAACAGTGGGTTAAATTATAAACTGACCTGTCAATCAAATGCCTGTGAAGTCACTGCCTCCACACACACCACATATCTACACAGCTCGTGATCAGGGACTCCCTATCAGACACATTCCAGGCCTGATGACCTCAGATCTGTCCCAGCATGTACCAGCCAACCTGGAAATCTCACCATGCAATCCTCAATGTCACCTGCTCATTCCTTCTCTAACTGTCATCACGTCATTGCTTTATACGGCACAAGTCAAAACTCTTATTGTTATGCTATGAAAACGTATTCTATGGTGTGTTGACATTCTTGATTCTGATTGGTTGGAAGGTGTGCAATAAAGTTGTAGTTCCAATCCATTTTGATCACAGTTTGAAATAAATGCACTTCAAACATCAGTAGTAACCATAGTACCTCCGTGACCGTATTTGTTCCTCTGTGTAATATGCTAAAATGCTCAAAAATGTTTACAAAAGAGTAGCGAACACATATTACTACAAGCTATTAGATATGCTTGTGTCATTTACATGCACACACACATGATCTCTCTCACACGTGTGCTCCCTCTCAATGTGTCTGTGACTCAGTGGGGAGATCTAGCATGGCATCAGAGCTGCAGAGCAATATTAGATTAAACTGATTCATGATAAAATATGCAAATGACCACGGAATAAGCGGCAAACACAAGAACATAGGCGAATTTCCATCAAGTGGTGTAAACGCATTACACATTTGCTGCGAATGTACAACATTAAAGTCCTTTTAAGCCAAGTAATTTCACTGTGACAATGTGAAATGTGTGACAATGTGAAAAAAGTTCAACTAAAGTGGAAAATTTGCATAAAACATCCCATGAGTAAAAAGTGGTGATGTGTTCTTTTCGCATTTAGTGTTCACGCCAAGCATAATGTGTACAACTCTGGGAACCACACAGCTAATGTAGTTCCAGTCAGGTCTTGACCGCATTACAGTTCTATATCATCAAAGAGCATAGAATCACCAAGAGGTGACACTCTCTTGTTGCTATTTGGGAAAAAGCTACTAGAAGCCGCTAGTGGCACGCGATGGCCATTTTGTAATGAAAATACCAACACGGATAACGAATGTTAGACAGAATGAATTACAGTTTTTTTCAATTGTTTTGCCATACATTTCAGAACCCTGGTTTCAATTTTCAAAACTCTAGACACAAAGCTCTAAACACTCACAACTTTAAACACAGGCTCCCCAGTGTTTAAAACTCTGCATGCTGCATTCATTTTCTTAAAGAAGTCTTGCATTTGCAGGATCATTGGTTCACATAATCCTTTTATCATACAAATACTACAGGAACACAACTTTAGATCAGAGGTTCTCAACTGGTTTGGCCATGGGACCCACATTTTCAGATGGTCATTAAGCCGCGACCCAAATTTTTAGGAATTATAATATAATTTTAGAAATTATGATTAATTTGTATTTAATTGTTAACATACACAACTGGTGACAGATAAATTATAAGAAAATCACCAAGACTTACAAATAAACAATATTGTACTGCTGTTATTTAACAAAATGTATCAAATTATAAAAATATTACAGAGTAAAAATGTCAAATACTGTAAACAGTGGTTAGGGTAAGGAAAAGTTAAGTTACCATGAACTAAACTGAACTGTTAATAAAACATTAACACTGATCTGGTTGAACTGAACAGAAACCAGCAAACTAAAGTTAAAATTCCTAAAATAATCATAACCATTTTATAATAATTTCCAGTTATTTGCTGTTCTGCTTTTGTGTGGGCTTTCTTGGCATTTGCTACACGGTGAGCACAGTAAGATGTACTTCTTTCTTCTTTAGCCATTACATAGGCTACTTGTTTTAAACATGAATACTTTGGTGATACCCTCAGCTATTGGAGTCGTCTTGGAAAATAGTCCACAGGTTTTTCCTTGCAACTGGGATGTTTGGTTTCTAAATGTTGTTTTAATTTAGGTTTCATGCTCTCTTGTGAAAGCACCTCACTACATATGACGCCTTTTTGTCGTCAAAATATGTAAATCCACACTTTACATATTCGGGGTTGTACTTGTGCTGGAATTTGACATGTCAAAAGGGTATATGCCGAGCTAGTGTTTTTCCCATACTGATAAACTTCCGGTGACCTGTTATTGTGAACTTTTTCCCCATTTTATATGGTTCCTTTTACAGCATCGATGTTGTAATGTCATTAAAATACATTCAGTTAAATAAAATTTAGCATTCATTTAGGTGCTCAAGCGTAAAACAGGACAAAAAGCAGTTTACTCGCACGCGCCCGTCAGAATCAGCAGGCTAGCGCAGAAGCTTTATTGAATATACTGGGGTAAAATAAATGCTCATTTATAAAGACATGGCGGGGGGAAATGTATTTTAATGCAGTGCTTCTTGTACAATCTGAGACCCACTTTATTTAGGATATCACTCAGCCAGTGGAGATTGCGGATTTGTAAAGAAAACGGACCTTAAACGCGCCAGTTTTTGCATTGCATACAGTTCGCCGAAAGCTCTTGGGCTTGTCCCAGGTTACTGGCAAATTAAAAGTCCCATTAGTAAGCTTCGTCGCACGCGCATTTCAAAATAAAAGTCCGATATAAGCAAAATAAGTTAAATAATAAACTTGTTGTTTTTTTTATCTCACTCTCCTCGACCCACTGAAAATGTTCCCGCGACCCAGTTGAGAAACACTGCTTTAGATCACCAGCACACAAGACACACATCGTTTCAATAAACAATCTTTAACGATCATTAAATATTGTTTTTTAAAATATATGATGCAGGTTTCATTATGGTTTATACATAAATAATATATAAGTGTAGAGGGAACAGTACAGACAGTGGATACACTGAACTACTTTTATTCATTCCATCATAATGTAGGTTTACTGTCATTTTTTTCTCACTTCACGTTCCCATATAGAATGCTGATATATGGCATGATCTGTCTAGAGTTTTAAAAATTGACACCAGAGTTCTGACATTTGTGGCAAAACGATTGTAAAAAACTCTAAAACATTGAGTTAAATATGAGCTAAAATTAGTGGTGGGCCGTTATCGGCGTTAATGTGTTAATAATAAAAATATATCGCCATTAATCTATTGTTGAAGTTGTGTTGCAAGCTTGGTCTATTCTGCGCAAGCTGTAATGACTTTCACCTTGGTATTTCAGCGCAGATGTATACCTGACCGTTGAGCAGGCTGAAAAAAAGTGCCCTTCTAAATCAAATCAGCAGGATGCCCTTCTGGATCTTTCACTTACTTCGAAGACACTACTGACTACTCTTACATGGACATCAGTAATCTAGTTATTTACCTTAATAGACAATAATATACTTGGGGTGTTCAAGTGCTTTCATTTTGATTCTCAAATCAAAACTAAATAGAATGCCATGGAGGGGATGCACAAGAAACTAGTACCACACACAGGAGCAGTTTGAGGATTAAAACCTGACCCATTTCTTAACATACAACAGCTGAACAGTGACTTTAGGTATGGTGACTAAAGTATATGCAGAGTCATTGACTCCTGTTCATTAAATTATTGTTATTTTTGGAATAATTCAATGGCCTGTTGTCCGTTATTCCATACATATTAAATAACAGGCTAATTATAATAATATTTCCTTGCATTAATATAGTACATTTCTAGACACTTAAATCGCTTTACACATTTTTGGGGGGAATCTCCTCATCCACCACCAGTGTGCAGCATCCACCTGGATGACACAATGGCAGCCTTATTGCACAAGACTGCACAGCTTACACCAGCTAATAGGAGGAGAGGAGACAATTATGTTATGGGGATGGTTAGGAGGCCATGATGGACAGAGGCCAGTTGGCAAATTTGGCCAGGATGCCAAGGTTATACCCCTACTCTTCTTCGAAGGACATCCTGGGATTTTTAATGACCACAGAGAGTCTTGACCTCGGTTTAACATCTCATCTCAATAACTACTACCCACAAACATGCTTATGCTGTCGGCATGTTACTGTGTTTACTGCACTGCGAATTCGAATCCACTTTACATGCATGTTCAATAGATAAAGAATTGGGCCTGGTTGCATCATTACTGTTCATGGCATTGTGTATACAAGTGCTGAGAAAGCTTCTAAAGCTGAAAGTCATACATGGCATACAGGTTTTCCACACAGTGTAGAACAGACTAGGCCAACTGACCAATCAAAACAGTGTAGGCTCTTGAAAAGAAGGTCTTTAGAGAAACCAGATTATTAAAGGACCATTTCAGACACTTTGAGAATTTTTGTTATTTTTTATTGTTGTTGCATGTAATCTTACTATAAGAGACCTCCAAATCAAAATTCGGAAACTTGAAACGAAATAATGGAGTGCATTGTTAACACTCATGTGAACTCTTACCTTTGTTAACCAGCCTCGCGCTGTAGGCTTGACTTCTTTATCCATGGAAATTGGTCCACTGGCCTGGACCTTGAGAACATTCTGGAGAACTCTGATCCAGTCCTCCAGGATATTTGGGGAGTCTGCAGCCAAGTAAAAGGTCTTCTTCTCTGTAATTAACTAGTCATAACAAATAAATGAGAAAAAAGATGGATAAAGGTTTAGAACAAACGTGGCTCTCTAAAAATGTATTACGTTTACACACAGCCTTTAATAGGATTTTGTCAACACTGTGATTAAACTTAACTTTATGTGAACAAAATACTTTGATCCAACAAACCTTATGTGCATACCAAATTGCATACTTATGCACTACTCTATGCTATTTTGTAGTTTAAATAGTGTAAGTAGTGCATTCACACTGAAAACTCTGAAAAAAGAATAGTGCACTTTGATTATCCGCATGATGCAGTTATTCAATTGGTAATATGACGTGTGGAATGTTGGACACTTCACGCACTCAATGACCACTGCTTTGGTCTTTTATCAGAAGGGGCGGAACTTTCGGGCAGTGATATTGGATTACTTTATTTATTTTGGATTTTGTGAAAGCCGTATTCTCCTACGAGAGTAATTATACCGCCTCCCTATGGTGAACGCGGTTACACTTATGGCAGGTATTATTTGGTGCCTTGGTCATTTATTTAATTAATTTGGCAAATGTTAAACGTCATCTCAGAAACGTTTTGAATTTTCGCTTAGTAAAAAATCCATTAGTGTTCCATTTGGGACGACACTACATACATACTGTACAATCAGAATTATTAGCCCCCCTTTTTATTTTTTTTCTTCTTTTTTTAAATATTTCTCAAATAATGTTTGACAGAGCAAGAACATTTTCACAGTATGTCTGAGAAAGTCTTATTTGTTTTATTTCTGCTAGAATAAAATAAAAAAAAAAAACATTTTAAGGTCAAATTATTAGCCCCTTTAAACTATCTTTATTTCGACAGTCTTCCGAACAAACCATCATTTTACAATACTTGCCTAATTACACTAACCTCCCTAGTTAACCTAATTAATCTAGTTAAGCCTTTAAATGTCACTTTAAGCTGTATAGAAGTGTCTTGAAAAATATCTAGTCAAATATTATTTACGTTCATCATGACAAAGATAAAATAAATAAATCAGTTATTAGAGATGAGTTATTAAAACTATCAAATCATGTTTAGAAATATGTTGAAAAAATCCCTCCGTTAAACAGAAATTGAGGGTAAGAATAAACAGGGGAGCTAATAATTCCAAGTGGTGCTCGCTGCAGAGCCATTTGAGGAGAGCTGAGCTCCAGCGAGGGGGAGCTTAAGCTTGAGCTCCACCTTTTTTGCGATTCTTCTACGAGTGATGTCACTGGGGGTAGGGTTAGGGGTGGGGTTGGTGTACGCATTAAAACAGCTTACAGGAGGAGGAGCGACAGCTCATGCTCCCCCTCGCTGGAGCTCAGCTCTCCTCAAATGGCACTGCAGTGAGCACCCTCTCAATAATTCAGGGGGGCTAATAATTCTGACATCAACTGTATACTACGCTGTTAAGGGAGTAAGTGCATAAGTACATAGTGCATAAGTGCAAAGTGTATAGTGTGCCGTTAGGGACGCAGCTCATGACTGCATTAAGCTACGTGTGCACAATGCAAGCTCCCAATGCATCAACAAAAATGTATTTTGTATTTGATTAAAGTAAATTAAACAGCATTTTTGAGTGGATTAACTTGCACACACAACACATTAATTGTTTACTTTAAGATTGACAATGTGAGTTGGTAAAATAAACACTGTACATTTTGATTTCACCCACATCTAAAAATAAAGATGTAAAACTTCCACTTGTGTCATTTTTTATAACTGATAAATAACATGTATTAGTAAAACAATAAATAAAAAAAGTAAATAAATACACAATATCAACCAATCAAATCGTGTGTGTATATATATATATATATATATATATATATATATATATATATATATATATATATGTATTTAAGAATCTTCTGTATCAGAGGTGCCCAAACTTTTCTTATGATGGGCCAATAAAAACTAACTAGATTGTGGACTGTGAGCCAAATGTAAATATATCAAACTGCGATACATTAAAGTTGCCATGAGTAATTATTAATATTAAAAATAACTAGAAATCATTGCTTTATTTTAACTAATTCAGTATTTTATACAATAATATTATATCAATAAAAACAAAAACAATCTGATACTTTGATGCTAATACACACTAATACACTAATATACATGTCAAGCTGCATCTGTCTTTGTCTTGATTTGATGTATACTGTATGACAATTAAAAAGAAATGACGATCTCAGTTAAAGGCAATCCCTTCCTCCAATCAGTCTCTTCTCAGACTGGATGGTGGGCTAAATCAAAGGTTACCATGTTCCAACTTTGGCCCACATGCCCCAGTTTGGGCATCTCTGTTCTAAATCATCACTTCCATCATGGATTGTTCAGTCAAATTAACTGCAAATCAATTAATAAGAGTAAAAATGTATATTTATCTATCATTCACAGCATGTAGTGAATCAAATCTTAAGTAACACAAGAGTAAGAGTAAAACACATCCAGATGACCTACCATAAATTCTAGAAATATTATGATTATTACATTTAATTCCTTCCAAACTGTAACAGACATGATTACACTGAATAAATATTAAGGAAATTATACATAATTCCAGGTTATTATTTTTATGACAACAGTGCAAATCCAGTAATGACAGCAGTTGAGAGCCAAACACATCCTGAAAGTGCAGATGAAATGTGTGATACCCATATCAGGCTGTTTCTGAAAGCCTCAGGCTGACAGATTTGAAAAAGGCTGTTTAGGTGTATCAGTGTGTTTCTCTCACCTGGAATGTCTGCGCTCCCTCTCCGCGGGCAATATGACACGAGGAGTTGAGCTCCATTTGGCCCTGAGGTTTCCGGATCACGTCACTCTGAGAGCAAAACAAAGGCAGATATCATCAGTGCTGTAACTCTAAACTTCCTTCCCTCACACCGTCTCCCAAATACCACCTCAGAGCTGTGGACAAGTCCACTCACCGGCGACTTATAGTACAAGATCTCGCCATTCCTCAGGATGAACCAGCGTCTCTTCCATGCCTTCACCTGGCTGCCCATTTTCAGCAGGTAACCTGTCTTTTCTAGTGTCTCCTATATAAAGACGCACATACAAAAAATGCCTTTAAACATACCATATGTCTAACTTTTATGATTATAAATAGTTCATGATCAAGGTGAATGGGAAAGACAGTTTTCTTCAGGTTTAATTAAAGTACAACATGAAAAAGAATTGTCAAAAAGTTATAAATTTCATCTTTTTGTCTGGTACAGAAGCTCCAGCAGAATTCAAGACCCTCCAGTGGACAGTGAACACAGCTGAAATGATACTGGGTGCCCTTCTACCCTCCATTTAGGACATGTTTCTTTCATGGTGCTCCAGCAAAGCTATCAGTATTGTGACAGACTGCACCCATCCGTTACACGGTCTCATACCAGCTCCTGCCATCAGGAAGACAGTTTCAGAGTATTAGAGCCTGCTTGGCTAGACTACTAAACAGCTTCCTCCCAAGCTGTTGGAGCCCTCAACTCCGATCATCTTACCCTCCTCTGAAATATTATCCACAATCCCAGCTCACAAAACCCCTCTCCTCCCAAACACACACCACATAAAAACACCAAAGCATTTTACATTTCTTAGTGTGCCTCACACATGTGAGTGGGCTTGACAAACCACCTGTAGAAGACACACTTTCATCTCTCTGACATATTCCCAGACACTTCCGTTATCACTACATATCGCAATAAAACACTGTGGATTTTTAAGTGAGAGGGCTCGAAAAACCACCAGTAGAAACACTTTTTTCTCCATACGCTCTGAACACTTTATTTAAAGGCACCTATGGTAAAAAATCTACTTTTTAAGCTGTTTGGACAGACGTGTGTAAGTATAGTGTATAGATCGTCATATTGGGATGATATAAACACACCCACTGCTTTTTTTTTTTTCAATTTAACAACATAAAAACGGTGGACCAACTTGACGTAGGAGTGTTGATATACGGAGTGTTGATTCACGGTAGGAGTGTTGATTCACGTCCGCCATTTTCAGCGAGAATCAAAGCGAAATCGCTAAAGGAACACCCTTACTCTAATTTTAGATGTGAGGCTTATTGGGCTCAACACAAGATCAATATTCTCCACATTATCGCTCTAATCTGAATTATTAGTTGTATCTATAGGTAGGTTTGCAAACGTGTACTTTTCATTGCGTCTACCTTAAACTTCAGCCGTTTGCATTTCTCGAGGTCACAGAAGCTCCCTGTGATCTTAACTAGGTGCAGCTAAAAAATGCAAGCGCGTTGCTTCATGTGCGCATCTCTCTATTGGAAATAATATAACAAACTTGCCTGCAAGTCGCACATCAGAAGCGCCGCTCTGCGTGGCGCGATGCTGACGCAGCCCATGCTTTTTGGAGTTCTGGGCGTGGGTTTCTGTCAGGGTACACACAATGGCGCTTCAAGCCAGCGGCAAAGTGCTAGTACAACCGCCGTTGTGTTTACCCTGATGGAGGCCTGTGTTTGGAGTTCTAGAATGCGTGGCGTGATGATTCGGGACACTTCATGTTTCTTGAAAAAAAGGCCATGAAACCCCCCTCTTTCTGTTCAAATCTACCTTATAATTAAAAAAATCATGATGGGCGTGGAGCGCTGTGAGAAGTGGGAGGTGTGGACGTGACCGGTAGAGCAGGGGAAATTGCTAAGAAATAAACATTAGGTAATTTAATGTCCTGCTACATATTTTGCTCATAATTTCATATACACATAACCACAAGTTCTATCATTATAAAGATAAATATAATACTATAAATACGTTATATAAATTTATAAAAATACTATAAATGAGGAGGACTCCTGAATGCAGTCTGAATGCAGACACAGTGAATAGCAATGCAGCAGATTCATGTGTCTGAATGGTAACAAACTCAACTGATAAAAGACAAAGTCCACCATTCTTCAGTTCTTGTACAGCTCTCTCAACAAAAACACTTGCTGCACACAAACAGCTTTGCTGTATCGGCCCTGACAGCATTGTGGGGGAAAACATACAACAAACCTTGTGGATCATGAAAACAAACACATACGACTCTTCATGAACAGCTAAATACTGCGTGCCATACGTGGACGCAGTCTCACCCAGTCATTGGGTCACAGCTTGGCAGGTCTGGCCTTTGTGCTCTCATGAATAGTTAAGAAGCAGGGTCTTCTCATAGCATAAGAAAACTTCGCTAAAAATAATAATGAGAAACCAATGCGTCATCACTCCACAGGAAATGCACGCTACGTCACAGATTTTGATCCCGCCCCCAAAATTATTTTAAACAGGGAGGATGAAATTAGCTGACAAATGCTCTAATTTATCCAGTTTTCTCCACAATTAAAGGGTTTCTTGAACCTTTAAGCACTTCTAATTTCGAGAGGATCACGTGCTTATAATCAACATGGCTGGCTCCTTATCAGCTCTGTAATCAGCCCTATTAGATGATTACGGAAGCATTATAAATAACCTGAGTTTTTCACTCCAGTTATTTTCGTCTTGAAGCTCCACCCCCTTTCCACCCCTACTTCCTCCCCCATTTTTCTGATCGGGCGATACTGTGGCCCAGTGGCTAGCACTGTTGCCTCACAGCAAGAACACCGCCAGTCCAACCGATCGGGCCGGTTGGTGTTTCTGTGTGGAGTTTACATGTTCTACCCATGTTCGCGTGGGTTTCCCCCGGGTTCCTCGGCGTCCTCCCACCGTCCAAAAACATAAACCATAGCTAATCGACTAAAACAAATTATCACCCAAAAAAACCTTAGTTTACACTTCTCACTGTGACAAGCAGGGGAGTTCTCGAGACCTACCTGACCTCGAACTCCCCTCTTGCCCTTCTAACGGGAGGGAGCCCCGAGCTCGAGGATATTACAAGCTCAGGGCTCTCTCCCGGGACTGCATGCCAAATACGCTTTATTGATTATCAGCTAATTGTGAACTATTAAATACTATTTAAACTGTATTTTTCTGTCATAGGCCTCTAGTGAAAATTTTTAAAATGTACAAATTACACAATTTGAGTGGAAATGATGATGAGGAGACAAAATAGAGCAGATACATACCGGGCCGACACTCTCACAGGAGTAGGAGGAGGTTCGTTGCACCTTGTGTTCAGGCTCAGAGCAGTCACTATCCAATGAATACGCATCCGGAGGAATGGCATAATCACTCTCTGAACTGATAGAGGACATGGATACACCTGCAGGACAAAAGACTTTAACATGTTCACTCGAAGTTCTTTGTTTTATTTATTTAATAAAAAAATATATATAAGACAAATATTTTTATTTTCGCCTATTTTTTCCTAAGTGTCTACAATTCTTTTTCATTTTAAACTGTGTTACTTTGTAAGATTTTCTTTAAAAAATAGGGACTTTGTTTGGCTGCACTGCTCAGACTACCGGACTACTATCAGAAAGAATTGTAATAAAATCAAAACGTGGCATGATATTTTTGCCATATTGCCCACTAAATGAAAAAACTTGTTCTGTGTGAATGGCCTCTGAAAGTGGTAGTTTTACAGGTTTCCTCACCTCTTTTGACAGCACGGGGACTACCAGGGGTGCTGCCCTTCTTATCCGGCCCCAGCGTGGACGTGTGCAGGCTAGCCAATGAGCTGCTGTCGTCTTCTGAACCAGAGTCATCATCGGGGAGAGGAACACTGCTGATCTGAGTCGCTTTCTAGACGAGCACGAAACATTTTGTATAATCTGAAAGGTTTCTGTAATAAAATTATTACTATTATATATAAACACATTGGTTATACATGTAATCTTACCCCTTTAAGTGTGGAGTACACAGGCACACTGATGTTCTTGTATATGAGGTGAGTGAAGGGGCCGGTTGTTGAGTGCTGAGGTTGGGTGGATACTGCAGAAACAAACCAACAACACATGGCCACTTCCTGCAAAACTCGTAAAAATTTCATAAGGTCTGAGTGGGCACTTCAATATAATTTCATAAGGCCATTCCATTTACAAACACAAGCAAAGTATGGCATTTGTAGATTTAATTAGGAGTTTTAGTATTTTTGTATGCATGTTATTTATTTATTTATTTATTTATTTATTTATTTATTTATAGCAGGTATAATGCAACCACTTGTGGATCACTAAGAGTAATAGATTGAATAATTAATTAATTAATTTATTTATTTATTTATTAAACTATTTGTTTATTTGTTTTTGTTTTTTTGTTTGTTTGTTTGTTTAGGAAGACATATTTTTTTACTGGCGAAGCAGTGGCGCAGTAGGTAGTGGTGTTGCTTCAGCAAGAAGGTCGCTGGGTCCCTGGTTCGAGCCTCGGCTCAGTTGGCGTTTCTGTGTGGAGTTTGCATGTTCTCTCTGCATTCGCGTGGGTTTCCTCTGGGTGCTCCGGTTTCCCTCACAGTCCAAAGACATGCGGCACAGGTGAATTGGGTAGGCTAAATTGTCCGTAGTGTATGAGTGTGTGTGAATGAGTGTTTGTGTATGTTTCCCAGAGATGGGTTGCTGCGTAAAAACGTGCTAGATAAGTTGGCGGTTCATTCCGCTGTAGCAACCCCTCCCTTTAATAAACGGACTAAGCTGATAAGAAAATGAATGAATGAATATTCTTTTACTTGATCCAAACTACGGCAATAGTTAACAATGTAAATATTTGTAAGCTGTTATAAAATATAATATAAAGCAAAGTGACATTATATGCATCCTTAGGCCAGTTTTTTATTTTATTTTATTTTTTTTTTGAGTAGTAAATCATAATAAATATGCAATTTCCTAATACATTTCTTCTTATAAATTGTGTTAATAAATTGAAACATTCTTTGGTAAATGCACTTAAAGTTCTCATTTATATATTTAATTAACCATTTAATATAATTAATAATTATTTATCAAATTATTTAGCAAATACTCTAAAAGTAATTAAAGACAAGGAGATTCCTGTATGTGTATATATATATATATATATATATATATATATATATATATATATATATATATATATATATATATTTAAAGGAATCTCCTTGTCTTTAATTACTTTTAGAGTTCATTTTAAAATATTTATTAAAAAACCCAAACAAAAGCATTGTCGCATAATTCGCAAGGAAAGACTTAACATTAAAATTAATTTAAGTGACCACAGATTTTAATTAAAACAACAGAAGACAGAAAACACTTTCATTACCAATATAATTTAACATTACTAAGAATTAATCTGTTTTGCTACACAAATTCAATCATTTAATCACTTTAAATCATAATCAATATGACAGCCACTGAAAAATTTGAATGACTAAAAACTACTAGTAACAGTAGCTAAAAAGCAATCTAAATAGCAAGCTCAGAGAGCAACCATAAAAATTTTAAAAGACCCTACAGGTATAAAAGAAGCAGTTTTAAAGAAAACAGAGCATTCAGCTATTTTTAGGTAAAAATGTTTGATCTTAAACAAAAATGCAAACTGCATCTGTAGTCCAAATGAACTAGGTTTTTGGTAACACTTTAGAATAATGGTCCATTAGGGAATATTAGTTAATCGTTAAAATTAACTAAGTATGAATAATCTTGTAAACCATTTATTAATCATAGTTTAACATTAACTAATGTGTTCAATCCAAAAGATGTCCTTATTAAGATTAGTTAATGCAGCATTGGTTAACATGAACTAACTTAATTTAACTTAAAAATGTTAATGTTAATTCTAACATTAACAAAGTTGACAAAAAATACAATAATAAATGTATTACTAATTGTTTTTTCATGTTAGTAAATACATTGCCAAGCATTAACTAATGGACCATTAATCTAAAGTGTTACAGTTGTTTTAATGTTTGGGTTTGTGCATTTGCAAAAATTAACTTTTCAGCCTGAAACTTGCTGGTTGTAAATCTGTCATGTTTTACCACTGGACTTTCGATGGAAACAGCATGAAAAGTAGGTTTTCACTGCAGTACAGAACCACAGTTCCACTGACTTTTATGACTGAGCTGAGATGGAGAGGAGTAAAACACTCGCTGAGATAATTACACGCTGGGTTTATCCTTTCATCACGGCTGATTGAAAAGCAGGGTTTCCATTCTCACCCTTTACTCACAAAGTCAGACCTCCTCTAAAAGCCTCTTGAAGACTCAATGAGCGCAGAACACACCTGCACAGGTGTGCTCCCCTTAGGTGAGAGGAAGTGACATCAAACGAGTCCTGACTTCTAATTGACAGATCTGAAAGCATCTGTTCATATGACAGTACTAACATAAGCTGCAGGAGCTGCCAGAAAGATTTTGGTGACAGACCAATACTGAGTGATACATTTCACCTGGTATCAACATTCGTTTGCAGTGATCTGAAAACAAGTGGTCAGACTTGAAACATTATAGTTGTTCACCTGGTATTAACATCAGTCTCCTGTGAGCACTTAAGACATCCTTATAAAATTCTAATTTCTCCAAATCAGGACTTGATTTTTGCAGGTTTTCATTTTTTTAAAAATATGAACAACAAAATATAGCACTAAACATTCACTAATCAAATCACTGAACAGGGGTTTGTTTCCCAAACAACGGCGTATTAACTATCATAGTACGATGCATCGTTTGGGAAAAGAACGATCTAGTGACGAGTGTTTAACTGTAGTTGCCTTGTCGCAGATCCATCGTTTGAATTACTTTAGTCATAAAGTAAAATGTCCATAATGCCGTTCTAAAAGGGGTGGAGTAATAACTTGTTTAAAGAAAATTCCCATAATTTATTTTTGTCAATTATATTGCCGAAAAGAAAATGAATGAATAATGAATTAATGAAAGTGTAATTAGGTGTTTGGTTTAAAGGTTTTTGGCTATATTTTGTTGTATTGTCTGGTGTCTCCTGGTACATTCTTTTCTTTCTTATAGTTTGTGATGTAATATTATGGTTTATTTTTTTTGGATTCTCACTTGAAATATCTAAGCTATATTTATGAACAAGTGTGTATGTATGTATGTATGTATTTATATGTATGTACAGTATATGTGTATTTAAATGATTGTGTATGTATGTTTACATATGTATGTATCTATATGTGGACATATCTGCGAGAGGATATCATGTTATCCGGAAGTGTACAAAAAAAAAAGAGCACCTGATTGTGATGAACACTTTCTGATGAAGAGCTGTGTGGCTCGAAACGTTACATGCTTTGTGTCAGCTTTTTTAATTGAATAAATTTGTATTTTTGGAGCTTTGGTGTTGCTGCCTTTGATGAATATTTAATTATATTGTTTCAATTAAAAAAAAAATCTGACTAAAAACAAAATTAGTTTGGTAAGTACATGCACTCATTTTCCATATTAATTGGGCCTATGTTTCCTTTACAAATATTGTTAAGAATATTCAATATTCTATTCTGAAACACAAAAAAAGTGTAAGTTGACACGTACAGTATTCTAATCTCATATGTAAATCATATTTGTTAATGGTTGTAATTTACAGTAGGATATTTATTAAGAGATGAAAAAAATCATATAAAATAATGTATTATTATAAATATTATTATTATTATTAAATAGGATATTGTTTATTTATTTATTTATTTAAAGTGTACTTTGACAACTTTGTCACATCTAAACCACTGCAGAAATGTTCTAACCAACAGGCCCATGCAATAAACAGTACAGATACATTTCCTAATAGATAGCCTACTAAAAATTAAAATCATTAACATATGCTATATAATTTTGTTTTCACAAGCTTTGGAGATGTAGCGTAAAGTCCTCTTTTAAATAATAGCTTACGTCATGAGCCACAGCTGCGTCCAAAATGGCATAAATGTCTTGCATAAGTGCATTACAAAGGGAACGGTTAAAAATACTTTGAAAGGAAATTAAACGTATAAGAGATGACTTTAATGTTTTTTTAAACCATTCCAAGTTTAAATGTTGGAACTTCTGAAAGGAACCGGGGGGATAACTGGGAATAGAACACAGATATGAACTATGCTTCTAACTGCAGCTCTAAAGGTTTATTTGCAAGCGTACAAGTTTGCGACGCAGTTTGTGAATGTTCATGGAACAATAGATTTAGGAAACAGCAAATCAATGAACTGTTTGTAGCGACAGACCTTTGTTACGAACGGTTTTCGTAAACGCACCCCAGAACATTAGCAAAGGATTTAGTAGTTTGTTGGTTGGGAGCCTTCGTATGTGTGAACACAATCCCCGTCTGACAGCTCAAGCTGAGCCAAAATGGGATCATGCAACAATTGGTCCCATGCATACTAGAAAATCAGCTCCACCTTCCCAGAACAGCTGAACACGAATAAAAAAAAAATAAAAATCAAGGTGTTGCAAAAGTCTCCTGTCAGAGTCCAGAGTCCATCCTGACTGAAATGATCCGGCAAGAACTGGACAAAAAACTTCAAAACTCCTCCAGAACTGTCTGAGAGATTGATAAGGTTGCACAGTGTGAAATGTCATCTTATGTTGTTCATCTTCCTTTATATATCTGTTTGTTTGGGTTCAGTCTCTTCTCTCTTATTTCACCACGCTCTACATCACTTTTAAAGGAGCGCTGCTAATCATTTTGAGAGTGACTCATGAGTACTATTGAATGAATGAAACAGTGTTATTGAACGCATTAGAATAAAGTGGATGTGAACAGCGGCTATGATTTTGTTCGTAATACATGAAGTCCTGTGCAATGAACATTTTGTCATGGTGTAGTTTTTCACAACATGCCTCTTGACAATCACATCAACATGTAGAAAGTAAGTTTATTGGTGCTGTTCAAACCCATTTGACCATCTGAGCATTCAAACTACCAATCCGGGGTGCGTTTCCCAAACAATGACATAACTAATGGCCGAACTATCATAGTACGATGCATTGTTTGAGAAATAAACGATGTAGTGACCAGTGTTTCCACAAAATCGTAGTTTCTCTGTCGCAGATTCATTGTTTGCACCACCATAAAACCTCCATAATGATGCTATAAACTGGGTGGAGTAACAACTACTTGAGAGAAAATGACCATATATTTTTGTATAAATATATATTGTTTTACACTCACGCTTAAAAATAAATTCAACCTAAGTTTCAATAAAAACATGCACTTGTTTTTTATATTAACTGAAATATATGTAAATGGCGCATATAGGGTCAGTGTTCTCCCCATGTTCGTGGGTTTCCTCTGGGTACTCCGGTTTGATGGGTGGTGGCTGGAAGTGCATCTGTTGCGTTAAACATGAAATGTATAAGTTGGCGGTTCATTCCGCTGTGGCGTTTTTTTAATCATTCCGAGTTTAAATGTTGGAACAATCTAAATGAATAGGGCATAGGAGGGATAACTGGGAATAGAACACAACCAGGAACAATGCTTAACTACAGCTCTAAAGGTTTATTTGCAAGCGTACAAGTTTGCGACGCAGTTTGTGAATGTTCGTTGGAATGACGGATTTTGGAAACATTAAATCAACTGACTATGTTTGTAACAAAGGAACTTGCAACCTCAGTTGGCTAACGATGGTTTTCGGAAACACACCTCTGGACAAATGAATTTTCAACTTCAAAAGTGAACAAGGTCAAAATAACATAGGTTACCTCTGTATTTAGAAATATCAGTCTAATGCTAGTTGTAAACTGGGCTATAGAGTGATGGTTGCGGATTGGTTGACTGACCTCTACCAATAGTCTTGGCTCCAAGACACGCTTCTGAGACTCTCATTCCTAATTTAGCCACAGCATAGATCCGGCTCTCCTGGAAAACACAGAAATATGAAAATGACACTAGAAGTATCATACAAAAATTGCCACCATAGTGTGATAGGATATTCTGGGTTGCTGGGTTCTGCTTGCAAAAATGATAAGTGCTTTCCTGTTTATTGCTTTTCTTTGCAAATCTAAGTAGTTGCTTAAAGGAATAGTTCACACAACAATGAATTAGCTGTTAAGTCAGCAGCTTTTTGCACTTTTAGTTGCAGGCAGGGCAAAACAAAATGAATGCCAGTGCATCTAATCACAGTAGGTTATCTAAACACATGAGGTCTTATGATGGGACCTTTTAGCAGCTGATTGAATACATTTGACTAAATGTGCAACCAAACCACAAGAGCAATCCAGTCAAATGTGATTAATCGATATAGACTGTTGATTCTTCGGGTGAGGGACTCTTCACGACGGTTTCTGCAGCTTTATGTTATGAACCCTCTACTGTCAACAAATGTGGTGGAATCTCAGCGAATGCTTTCCTCTCAGACATAAAAATATATCTACATAAAGCTTGAATCTAAATGAACCAACTACACTTGAAAAATAAATGTTCTTTGGTTTTGTAATCTGTATGAAACACAAGTTACAAAAATTTATTGACCTCATGAATTCCTGCCTCTGAAAACATAAACATGACGACTACATGAACACCCAAAAACTTTTCAATTGAAGCTTGGCAAAGAGTTTTGGAAGATTTGATGTTTCCACATTCAAGAGATAGGCAATTGCAAGCCTGAGAGGTATTTCAAAGATGGCTGAGAGTAAAATAATATGTGTTAAAGCAGTGGTTCTAAATTCGGGTCCTTGCTGCACACCTTGATTGTAGTAGTAGCAGTAGTAGTTCATGGATCAGTTCATGGATCTCTCTGTTAACAAGCTAATGATCTGAATCAGGTGTGTTAAGTAAGGAAGACTTAAGCCCCTTTCACACATACAGACCTTTCCGGAAAATTCGTCGGCTATTTTCCGGAAAGAGAAGTTGTAACATTACCGGCAATTTGCCGGAATGCTGCGCTGTGTGAATGCAGATGGAAGATTGCCGTAATAAGCGCGTGCACGTCTAGAACGTGCTGACGTGAGACGTCTGCTTTAGCCAATCACAACAGTCAGACGCATTTACATCCGCGCGGTTTGTGAGAATAAAAGCCTTTGAATATTTCTCCAGACAAATTTAGCTGCTAGAAGTTAGTCAGATCATAATTTATATGTTCTTCTTAATACCAACTGTGTAAATAATCATCGATGAGATGCTTATGATAAGCCGCTGTTTGTTTACCTTCAAGCTTTGCGTGTGCCTGTGAAACAGCCTGTGAGCGCCTGCACACGCACATATTATGAACATCTCGACATGCGAAAGTGATCCTGCGAAAGTTGTTCACAATATTGATCATCCACAGAGTTTGTAATTTAGTCAAATGTTTACAAATACAAGCGCAGCCGTTTAAAGCTCATTTGTTGTGAATGATGTCAGAATTTACCGGTATTTTGGAATGGATATGTGAATGCTCTTTACCGAAAAATTTCCGTAACGTCCTCGCCTGTGTGAACAGCGCTTTTTTGAATATACCGGTAAAGTCGTTCCGGAAATTTTCCAGAAATTTACCGGTATCACTGTGTGAAAGGGGCTATAGACTGTGTCCGAAATTGCATACTCCTATACTTGCCGAGTAGTACTGTATGTCCAAATTCATAGACTGCAAAAACAGTATGCGAGAAGTACCTGAATGGCCCACTACTTCTGATAAGATTGAAGTGCTCATCCAATGCACGCTACGCTATCCCATGATGCACCTCCAGAGAATTCATGAATGGGAGTGAAGCAATGCAACTGATGCGGGTAGGTCATTATAATGGTTGAGTAGTACATTTAAATTTAAATGCAGTAGGCGATTTTGGACGCAGCCATACAAAATGATGACCAGAATTGAGAACCACTTTGTTCAGCGGGTCCCAGCAAATAGCTTTTGTTTAAATATCTGGTTTTGTGTTCAACAGAAGAAAGAAATTAAGTTTGGTTTTGAAAAACGTGAAGGGTAAGTAAATAATAATACAAGACAATGTTCAATTTTGGGTGATTTATCCTTTTAATACCTGATATGAACAGGTATGACTAATGGAGGCCCTCAAAATACAGTTTTAGCCACATCTGTGTTCAACATGCAGAATAATTTGAAAAACGAGCCGAATAATTCTGTCATCTTACCCAAGAGGGGAATCGGTGCAGAGGTGGTGTAGGTGGTTTAAGAGCTTCTGGGTCCATCATCTCAAGCTCCTTGGTCAACCCATCAAGCAAGTCTCCAACAATGGGCTGAGCTTCTGTAATCTCAGACCCCTCCACAACAACCTCCATGCTTTCGGGAGTTCCTTCATCAATGTCTGTCTCTTCGAGCCCATGTGAGGGAGCTGAACCCGGGACGAGACTGTGGCACGATGGAGACCCGCAGTTTCCAATGTCAATGCTGACGTTGACCTGATGGAGGCGCTCTAAACCGGGCTGTGGCTGACTATGATGCTTCTTCACAAGCTGAATACTGTCCCGGGGTGTTAGAGGAGTGCGAACTTTGGGCAGGGTCATGCTGGTGCCCAGGGGTAAGGCCAGAGGGAAGGGGCACGACAGAGGGAGGCGTATTAATGGAGGTGAGAGGGACACAGGCGGGGGGCTTTTAGGAGTCGGGGTTGGAGTATCAAAGCCACCAGGACCGGGAGTTTCATATGCTGAAGAGGAGGAGGAAGAGGATGAGGAGGAAGAACGGAGGCACTGGGAGCGAAATTTGCTGTTGAGTTCATCAGAGGAGTGGTCTCTGTCTGAGGCACCACCCATTGCCCTGTCACGCATCACTCCAAAAGAAGGCTCCACCCCCTCTGCACTCTCCTTAACTGTGCTTGTGGCGTCTACTCCATCTTGACTAGATTTAGGAGAGTCTGCTTTGTCTTGTAACATGGGAAGTAAAGACGCACTGTGAAACGCAGAATCACAGCCCTCTGTGATTTTCCTTTTGCTATCTGCAATTTAAAATAGATAGAAATATTCAGATAAAAATTTCCAAATAATTGCATAAAATGAAAGAAATTTATTGGAAATTTCTCAGTTGTTTGTTATTTACTCTCTGCTTATTATTGCATTAGTATTAGGGAATAAAATAAAATAAAACTAAATAAAATAAAGTAAAACAAAAAATAATTCAATAAAATAATTAAAACTAAATAAAATAAAACTATATAAAATAAAATAAAATAAAAAAACTAAACTAAAATAAAATAAAATAAAATAAAATAAAATAAAATAAACCTAAAAAGCAGGAGATGCTGATGTACCTGCAGAGCTGTTCAAGCGACAACCTGTCAGTCTCCAGCAGTCTTCCTGTGCAGGGGGTGTACCAGGGCAGCTTGGAGGGTGGAGTGGACTGGAGGGGACTAGGTGAGTGTCCACCGCAGGAGACATGGGCCTCTCCAGAAGAGCTGACAGAAACACAGTAAGATGGGCAAGAACAAATGGCAAAAAAAACAAAAACAGGAAAAGAGCTGCGTTTACTCTGAAGCTTGTCTTGTAGCATCAGGATCTGCTCAGTTTGCTTCAGGTTGGCCTTCTTCAACTGTTGGTTCTCTGTTTCCATCTAAAAAAAAAAAAAAAAAAAAAACAGGAAGACATAGACACTATTTTTCATTTCATTTCATAATTTCATAATTTACCTTAAATTAATTTCACTTCATTTAATCATTTTACTTTGTTTTATAATTTATTTTATTTTATGATTTAATTTAATTGTATTATTTTCGTTTATCATTTAATTTTATCCTCTAATTTAATTTTATTATAATAATTCATATTTCATATTTTATTTTAATATTTTATTTTAGCAATTTATTTTATCACTTTACTTTAATTATATCTATTTCATTTTATTATTCTATTTTATTTTATTATTAAGTTTTTTTTGTTTTGTTTTTTGTTTTATTATTTCCTTTTACTTATTATTTAATATTTCACTTAATTATTTATTTTTTTATTATTTCATTTTATTGTATTATTTAATTTTTCATATTTTGTGTTATTATTTCATTTTATTTTATTAGTTTATTTTTTGCCTTTATTTTGTTATTTTTATAATTTATGTCATTTTATTATTTTGTTTTAGTTATTATTTAATATCTCATTTTATTATTTCCTTTTATTTATTATACAATGTTTTATTTTATTATTTATTATACATTTTTATTATTTTGATTTATTTTATTAGATTATTGAATTTTTCATAACTTATTTTATTATTTCACTTTATTTTATCAATTTATTTTATGCCTTTGTTAATATTTTTTATTTAATTTATATAATTTTATTTTATTATTTAATATTTCATTTTATTATTTACTTTTATTCATTTTTCAATATTTTATCTTTTTATTTTATTTTTTTACTTTTTATAATTCCTTTTTATTTTATAATTGAATGTAATTTTAGTATTTTCATTTCATTTCATCCACAGACCTTCCACATTTTAACTCACCTCTCGTAACTTAAACGTGACCCAGTCCTTTATTTTGGCAGCCTTCTCTTCAATAATCTTGGCCTCTTGGGCTCGAACCAAGTTCTGCAGATAAGAAGTTCAGTTGAACAACATTTCCCTGAATCTGTAAGTGAGCGTTTAATGGCCATCTCTTTTCTCTGTGAGGTCTTTTCCTCACCTGTTTCTCCAGCTGTCCTTCCAGTCTCTTTACGATCAGGTCTTTCTCCTGGATTTGATTGCTCAGCTCTTGATAGCTCCTGTACAGTGAGTTTTCTGTTTCGCTAGGCTGCATGTTCGCAGACTTCAGTTTCTCCTCCATAATATGGACCTAGAAAGGCATTTGTGATTAAGATAAAGGAGAATTTCTTACTAAGCTAATCAGCTCTTTACTGACATTAAACGAAGTGGCATGTTGCGTGATAATATTCGCTATTAAAAGCTGTTATTATACCTTGCACCTTCTGAACATGTAAAGATGCTTTAATGATTTGTGAAAGTAATGTCAACAGCTGGATTAATCCTAACGTTAAGTGAATCTATTTAAAGCTCGCAAAAAAAAAAAAAAAAAAAGTTATGCTGGTTTTACATCAAAGCTGAAGCACTGTGTCACGTCCTCTAGTTTACTCACAGGATGTTTTTTTCAACCTCAAGAAAAGTTTTCTGCTTAAGTTAAATTATTTGAATGTGCTCTGAAGATGCATTTTAGACAAATACACTATTGGCAAATAGCTTAGAATAACCAAGAGGCGACACTCAATAAAACATTTCATCAACAGCCCCGGATTCCGCCATTTTGGAGTGAAAGCGATCGGCTGTCCATTGGCTCTTATTGCTGTCGCGATGGCAAGCAGCTGCTTTGTTTTTAATTTATTAATTAAAAAAGCGCATTAAAGCTGAGATACAACCAAAAAGACGACAATACAACACTTACTATCGCAATCATCAGCACTTTTAATAGTTTATTTTACAGACTTATAATATGCTGCTATTCTCTTGGAGTTTTCATTCCAAAATCTAGTGGTTGTTTCCCAAATTGCACTAGAGTGTCGCCTCTTGGTGATTCTATGCTCTTTGTGTGATCCCAGCATTAGAGAAGCTGGCTGTAGAATTGGTAACCTAGTAACCAACAGTAAACAAAGCAAGCATAATGGAGCAAAGTCCCTTTAAGGCAAGTCATTTCACTCGGCAGCCATTTGCTCGGCATTCTGTTTTAATGGGGAAACATCAATAACGCCAAAATTGTAAGCTTACGATAAAATTTCATATTAGTAATGAATAAAAATAAATAAAATTAAACAACAACTGTCTCTTTAGTCTTATTTCTAAACATTCGAATCACACAAAATCTGCAGAAACTCACATCTGATAATCCTCAGTCTTTAGTGATCAACAATTGGTTCCTGTACTAGTAGACTAGGCTGCATTCGCCATATTGAATGGAGTCATGTGGGTGAAATGTTTGCTACATCAGAGATAATTCGGCTAATGTATTTCCATCTCCCATTATTCATATTAAGCTTTATATATATATTTGAAATTTGACTATTACATTACTCAAAAAGCTCAATAACAATAACACCAGGTGATGGAAAACACCCAGCTACTTTGTTCTCAGTCATTTGACTCAAGTTATTCTGTTTTGACCAGTAATATACACATACTTTGAGGAACACTGTACAAATTGAACAGGACTTGAAACTTGCAGACACTCATCAATGATACCAAGCTGGCCAATCTTGCTTGTGCTATTTGTTGTCGCGACGTGTAGATACATTTTTGGAGAGGTGCGCATAAGCGTCAGCATATAAAGTGAGTCGCACACCAAATGCACCGCGCACATGGCAGTTGGAAGTATCACACACCAGACGTACACATTCGCATGTTATTTAAAATGAAACTATTCAGATGACGCTCTGTGATGCAGCAGAAATAAGAACAGTGTCCTGAGTCGTAGCTGGGCGACACGAACAGATGCCGACTTGTGGTACCGGTGTGCGTAGCGTGATAGAAATCTAAGTTTAGAATTCTAAAATGCATGGCGCTGCATGGCGATGCGTGGCGTGGCATGTCCCTGAGCGGCGCTTCCAGTGTGTGACCCCATTATGGGACCGATCGCATCTAACACACTTTTTGCATTGAGAGGCACTTTTTTTTGAATGATTTACTAACGTCCGTGAGCGTTTTGCGAGCTGCTAATGCAATCTGCATGTCTCGCGTTTTAACCGCTGGTTAATATTTCACGATATTTTTAAATATTTAAATTATAACAATATCAACAGCAACACTCTCGCACAATACCAAGCCAATTCAGTCTTTGCCTAGCGACATAAAAAGCGCACCGAACTTCCTTTTTTTGTCTTGTCATATATATATATATATATATATATATATATATATATATACATATATATATACATATATATATATATATATATATATATATATATATATATATATATACACACACATATACATATTTAATTACATTATTATTATTTTTTTTAATCATGGCAATATTTTTAAACATTAATCTAGATATATTAAATCATCACTCATCCATATAATTGTATTGTAACTGTCTGTTGACCTTTTGTAGGTTTTCATTACAACAAACAAACAAACAAACAAACAAACAAACAAACAAACATTTGCTTTGGGTGACTCAATTTAATCAAAGAAATAACTTGTCCAAAACATTCTTAGAGTGCAAGTTAAAGGGTTAAAAAACATTCAAATACAGATGAATTCTGAAAGAGACAACATTGTTTTCAATAGCAATACCTGCTTTTCGGCGCTCTCTGCTCTCTGGTCAGCCTCTATGACTCTCTGTTCCAGCTCCTGCATCTACAGAAAGAAACAGACAGGATCACGGATTGCTCGGTTAAGGCTGTGGATGTATATGTGTGTGTGTTGGTTATATAAACTAAAAGTGTGAGATAAACTATAAGAACAATCTACTGTACTGTATATCTGATTTGGAGTGTTGTTATCTTTCATGCCTAACTGATTTTGATCATAATCCGGTTCTAAATACTCAGGGCATATTGTACAGCTGCGGGTTTGGACATGCTCATGACACAAACCACTACGCTTATCAACAAGACCTGCATGTTGGTTTGACAGCACGGCGAAAAGCCTTAAGGCACATCCTTGTAAACAAGCCACACAGTCCTACATCATGAACGCTGTTGGGTTTTTTGCATCACATTTTAATTTTTCAGAACATACTGAAAGCAAAGTGATTTTGCTTTGTTTTGACTTGTTTACCTTTAAGTGTAGTTTATAACAATTTTTTTTTCACTTTGTTTTTTTTTTTCTCAGGTTTGTTTTATTTTTACTTTGTTAAATGAGATGGTGTTATTCTTGGGTGTAGCTTGTAGTTGTTTCTATTTTGTTTCACTTTGTTTCCATTTTGTTTGACATTTTGTTTTGCATCAGTTTATTGTGACTACATCAATATGTTTAGTTTGTAAATATTTGTATTTTTGTTTTGCTCCTTTTATCTTTGCATATTTTCTTTTTCTTGACTTTTTATTTCTATTGTTATTTATTTGTTATTGTCTATTTAGGTCTATGATTGTACTTTTCGTATTGGAAGCTTTCATCACCACCAAGACCAAGATTTCGTCCATGTAAACACACCTCTTGCTGATTCAGATTCTTGTTTTACTTATTTTTTATTTGTTTTTGATTTGTTATTATGTTACTGTTGTATGTACCTGTTTATGTGCTTTTATTTAGTAAATATGCATCTTGAGCTGTTTATTTTGGTCAGGAAACACTTATAACAAGACAACTTGAATTAAATTTTAATTAAAGTGATGCAGAAATCATGACGTTTTATTTTTGCTTGAATATAAATTCTGTTATTAATTTTGCACCCTCATGTATGCAAAAGTGTTCTTGGAGCTTTGTATGATAACATTTGAGCAACTGAAGTCACAGGGAATGTTTTTGGACATCTTTGAACATCTACTGATGTGTGGAAAGAGAGATCTCTAATATTTCATCTAATTTTGAGTTCTAAAGATAAACAAAGGTCTCAGCAGGGTTCTTAAAAAGTCAAAAAAACTAAAACTTAGGCCTTAAAAAGTCTTAAATTTACTGAAAGGTGGTGTTGTATGTCTTAAATACTTATAAACAGGTCTTAATTTTCCTTTGTCCATGTAAAGCTACCCAATCGCTACAACCAACAAACCATCTAAAAAACTTTTACCAAAAGTAAAATTGATGAACACTATTTATCAATATGGTTTACTTTTCTTCCTTACATGCTTAAAATAACATCTCAAAGTTCTGCATGTATTTATGCATAAATGTATGTTGTGAATAAATTAGGTTTATTATTGCTTTAACAATTTATTGTAATAGAAAATGTCTCTATTTAACTATGTTTTGACACAATTGTTTAAAACATGTGGCTAAGAAATAACTAAATTTTAATTTAATTTAAACAAGTAAAAAAAATATTACACTGGCTATTCCAAAAAAATCCATAGCATTTTGCCTTGTAAAACTCTAAAATTTAATTCATAATGGTCTTAAAAGTTCTTTAAAAAATCTTGAATTTGACTTTGTGAAACCTGCAGAAACCCTGTCTCAGGGGATTGAAACAATGTGAGGGAGAGTAATTAATAACAAAACCTAAATTTTTGGGTGAACTAATCCTTAAATTTTCATCTAGGATAATATTTACCAATGTAAATCACCCATATAAAAAACAAATTATCTCATTGCCCTTAGAAATTTAAATGCTTTAACACATTGTTATTATTTAAGAACCTGAATAAACAAGTGATCCAAATGGTTGTTTAAATGCATAAAAACTATGTTCTATCGCTGCATATTTACTGTAGATGGAACGTTTACAAAAAAGCCTGTGTGGAAATCTCATGAAAATGACTAACTGCGAGAGTACACTTCTTCATTTAGAATAACCTGAATTCATCAACATTCACATGAGAGCAAGAACTAATTTATACGCATATGATCCTGTCATGAAGCTGGCGGAAATTTTGTAAAACACTCTTCACTGCTCACAAAAGTATGCAACATTAAACTAATAAATGAGACCCAATAAAAAGAAAAGAAGACGATTTGACAGGACCGCTCATCTGTGCATGAATTAGATCTCCCACACAGACACACTTTTGGAAAAATCTTGTAATATTAAAAGCTTGTAAGAACCCAGAGTCAATAAGAGTCCCTGGCCACGAGTAAAAAGTAGAACAAGCTCAATAATGGACTTTGATGCTGAGGTTGTCATTCTATTTTGCACTGTATTTATTTTGTCTGCTATCCTTTGTTCTGACTTGTGTACTCGAGTGTAGTTGGTATTTTATCTTGTTTTGTGTCTGTTTTGTTTCCAATTTGCTTAGTTTTGAGTAAGTTACTCTTGAGTGAAATTTGTAAATAAATAATTGAATGAATGAACGAATGAATGAATGAATCCGGCACCTAGATTGCAGCTCTGCACAAGAAGTTTGGCAAGAGGAGAAATGGTTGTGCCTAAACTGAGCCTGGTTTCTTTCAGGGTTTTATTCCTTCACTTACATCAATTGGTGAAGTGTGTTCCTTGCCACTACTTGTTGCTACTGGTTTGGGACCCGTGGAGCTGCGCATCGATGGATTTGCTAATCGGTGTTTGGACTTTCAGCAGTGAATTAAACCACACTAAACTGAACTAAACTGAACTTCAACTCTAAAAACTGGACTGACACAGCTTTAATTTACTGGAACTTCTATGTTAAGCTGCTTTGACACAATCTACATTGTAAAAGCGCTACAGAAATAAACTTGAATTGAATTGATCTGAATCAAATGAATGAATAAACGATTGGACAAATGAATAAACTATCAAAGTAATGAATGATCTAATGAATGAATGAACGATTGAATGATGAAATGAATGAATGAACTATCAAATTAATAATTGATCAAATAAATAAATGAATAAATGGATGATCAAATAAATGATAGAATGATAGAATGAACGATCTAATGAATAAACAAATGACAATGAATGAATGATAAAATAATTGAAGGAGTGAATGATCAAATGAATGAATGAATGAATGAATGAATAATCATATGAAGGAATAAATGAATGATGGAATGATTGAAGAAATTAATGATCACATGTATGAATAACCGGTTGGATGATCAGATGATCAAATGATCGATGGAATGATGGAATGATCGAATGAATGATCTAATGAATGAACGAGTGATTGAATGATTAAATGAATAAATGATCTAATAAATTATTGAACGATCAAATGAATGAATGAATGGTCAAATGAAGGATTGATCAAATAAAAGAATGAATGAATGGATGATCAAATGATCGACTGAATGATGGAATAAACAATCTAATGAATGAAAAACTGATTGAATGATCAAATGAATGAATGAATCAATAATCAATGAAACAACTGAATGGTTGATCAAATAACTGAATGAAAAAAAATGGAGGTTCAAATGATTGAATGAATGATCAAACGAACGAATGAATGATCAAAGTATTGAAGGAATGAGCGATCAAATGAATGAAGGATCTATTGAACGATTGAATGATCAAATGAATGGACTGAATGATAGAATAATCGAAAGAACAATCTAGTGAACAACAAGTGATTGAATGATCAAATGAATGAATGATCAAATTTTTTTGTTTGTTTTTTTTTGTCTTTGTAATATTGTTATATTACTCACCTTAGTGTGTAACATTTAATTCACTTTCACTGTTTTCATTTTGCTTTTGTAAGGAACTGTTTCTGTTTTCATTGTCTTGATGCCATTATCATTGCACTGTGTAATTGTTATTATTTAGCTTAGCTTAATTTCCATTTTATTTGTTTTGCTTCGTTTTATTTTGTTTTGACATTAAGAGATTATTGTTTAGCATAGTTTGTAATTGCATCCATTTAGTAACACTTTGTGTAGTTTTGACCTGGCATTGTATTTCTTTTGAGTGTAGTTTGCAATTGTTTCAATTGTGTTTTGCTTGGTTTTCACCACTTTAGGGAATATTATCTAAAGCTTGCAAGAACTCACACAAGCAGAGTTCCTGGCCATGACGTGCCTTGTTCTCATTGTGTCATGAGCTCATTGACCCAGTAAAAAGGAGGACAAGCATACAAATGGATTCCCACTGTATGACAGAGCACCCCTTTTGTTCAAACGTCTTTGTTCTTTGGCTTTTTTCTCATTCCTCAAGCCTAAAGTCCAGAGATTCCCAGAAGGCCTCCACTTCATGTGAGTGTCAGGGCCCGAAGAGCAGCCTGTGGGGTCATTGTGTGGAGGTTTGCTCTTCACCTCGGGGTCAGCAAATGTACAGAAAATGAATGGATGGCACAGCGACAAATATGAAGAGGGACATGCTCTCGCTGACACTTCATCAATCCACATTACTATGGAAATAGTGTCCGCTCACCCAAGCCCAGCGCTGACCTCCGCTTAGCCTTATACCCACTCAGAAAATGATTCACTGAGCATTAAGAGCTACTCTGCAACTATGTCGTAAAGTTTACTGCCGGAGTGTTGAGCTACAGGGCCTTAACAGAGGTAATGGAAACATCTCAATGACATACGCAGATGCAGGGGGAACTCTAAGATACTGTAGTGTAGGCTTCATGCTGCTTCATGCCATGTCGTAATTACTGTAATTTCAAAATGACAACACGGGATGTTATATTCGGAGCTGTGTTTTTTTTTGGCAACAGAATCTGTTCATAAATAATCTGTCAGTAGCAGTCAGGTGAGTCATTTTTCAAGTTGTACAAGTTGTTATTATGAGTACGACAAGGACATGAACTCTGTTTACTAGATGAAATCCCATAATT